TTTTCATTTTATATATATATATATATATATATATATATATATATATATATATATATATATATATATATATATATATATATATATATATATATATACATTTCTTGATTTACTTGTGATACCTATCCAATAGTGTTTGCCATTTATCTGTTACACTAATTATCACCATTTTTTAGTGAACATCAATAAAAGTTAAGTTTTAATTACTCATCTATTACTCTCGTGGTCAGGGAATTTCTCAATTTTTGCCCCTATCAATCAGCAAGATTTCTGGCTCCCAGGTGTCTTTTACACAGGTAACGAGCTGAGATTAGGAGCACTCTCTTAAAGGGAGTGCTCCTTATCTCAGCTTGTTACCTGTGTAAAAGACACCTGTCCACAGAAGCAACCAATCAGATTCCAAACTCTCCACCATCGCCAAAACCAAAGAGCTGTCCAAGGATGTCAGGGACAAGATTGTAGACCTACACAAGTCTGGAATAAGCTACAAGACCATTGCCAAGCAGCTTGGTGAAATGGTGATAACAGTTGGTGCTATTATTCGCAAATTGAAGAAACACAAAATACTGTCAGTCTCCCTCGGTCTGGTGCTCCACGTAAGATCTTTTCTCATTGAGTGTCAATGATCATGAGAACTGTGAGAAATCAGCCCAGAACTACACGGGAGGATCTTGTTAATGATCTCAAGGAAGCTGGGACTATAGTCACCAAGAAAACTATTGGTAACACATTACACCAGCGGTTCCCAAAGTGTGGGTCGCAGGGCGATTCCCAGTGGGTCGCGCTGACCAACATATGCAGGGCCGCTGGGGAGTCAGGCAGACTGATTAGTTGGGATCTCTGTCAGTGACCGCGGGTCCCACTCCAGGATGGAGCCCGGCAGCTTGCCCTGTATGCCGCTGGGCTCCCTCCAATCAGTCTGTCCAGCACCTCTGGTCTGCAGCTCTGCCGGGTGCAGAGCTGCAGACCCTGTGATAGAAGTCTCGCGAGCACCAAGAGCGTTACCATGGCAACACTCTGGGAGCTCGCAAGGCTTTTATTACATGGTCTGCAGCTCTGCACCCGGTGGAGCTGCAGATCGGAGAGTTACCCCACTGGACCACTAGGGAATTTATTAAAAGGTAGGACGCAGCCCCCAGATCCTACCCCCCCCAATGTAACCCCTTTTCTCGTTGCCCACTCCCACCCCCCCGTAACCCCTTTGCTTCCTGCCCACACTGTAACCCCTTCTGGCCCTGCCCCCCCTGTAACCCCTTCACTCCCTCCCTCCTCCCCCCATAACCCCTTCACTCCCTCCCTCTTCCCCCCATAACCCCTTCACTCCCTGCCCCCTCCCCCATTGTAACGCCTTCACTTCCTGCTCCCCCACTGTAGCCTTCTCTGCCTAAGCCCTTCCTCCTGCCCCTCCTCCTGATAGCCCTTCTCTGCCCTAACCCCCCCTGTAGCCCTTCTCTCCTGCCACCCTCCCACCATAACCCTTGTTGCCCTACCCCCACTGTAACCCTTCTCTGCCCCCCCCTCCCCACTGTAGCCCGCTGCCTGCTTCCCTGTAACCACTTCCTCCTGCCCACTGCCTACCCTTCTCTGCCTACCCCACCGCTGTAACCCCTTCTCTCCCTGCTCTCCTCCCCCACTGTAACCCCTTCTCTGCCTACCCCCCCACTGTAACTCCTTCTCTGTCTACACCCCACTGTAACCCCTTCTCTCCCTTCTCTCCCTTAATACAAAAACATGCTTACATTCAAACACTGCTCACAAATATAACCCTGCAATGATGCGCAAATGATAGATCTCCATCTGGCATAGCATTGTTGAAGTTCTCCGACAGATGGAGATCTACCTTTTGGCTACACTTTCACTAGAGGGGGGCACAGAAAACATACTTGCACCAGGGTCCTCTCTACATTAGTTCTACCACTGGGATAATCAACGTGAGGTGCCTGAATGAAAGAGCAGGACACAGTACTTCTGATTCTGAGTCTGTATGTCTCTAAAACTGATTGCCATGATGTGCAAAGTTTCTGCCTCTAAAACTGCCATGATATATCAAAATTATGCCTCTAAAACTGCCATGTTGGTGTGCCAAGTTTATGTATTTAAAGCTGCCATGATGTTCAAATTGTATGCCTCTAAAACTGATTGCCATGATGTACCAATGTTATGTTTCTAAAGCTGATTGCCACGGTGTGCCAATTCTATGCATCTAAAGCGGATTGCTATAGTGTGCCAATTTTATGCATCTAAAGCTGCCATAATGTTCCAATTGTATGCCTGTAAAGCTGATTGCCATGGTATGCCACTTGTATGCATCTAAAGCGGATTTCCACGGTGTGCCAATTGGATGCACGATGTGCCAATTGTATGCATCTAAAGCAGATTGCTATAGTTTGCCAATTGTATGCTTCTAAAGCTGTTTGCCATGGTGTGCCAATTTTATTTCTCTAAAAGTAATTGTCATGGTGTGCCAATTGTGTGCATCTAAAGCGGATTGCTATGGTGTGCCAATTGTATGCCTCTAAAGCTGATTTCCCTGGTGTTCACTTTTTAAAATATGCATTAAAAGCAAGTGGGTCTCGCAAAATTACCGTTTTGAAAAGTGGGTCTCGGCCCATAAAAGTTTAGGAAGCCCTGCACTACACCATGAAGGACTAAAATCCTGCAGTGCCCGCAAGGTCCCCCTGCTCAAGAAAGCACATGTGCAGGCCCGTCTTAAGTTTGCCAATGAACATCTGAATGATTTCGAGGAGAACTTGGTGAAAGTGTTGTGGTAAAATGAGAGCAAAATCAATCTTTTTGGCATCAACTCAACTCGCTGTGTTTGGAGGAGGAGAAATGCTGCCTATGATCCCAAGAACACCATCCCCACCATCACACTTGGAGATGGAAACATTATGCTTTGGGGGTGTTTTTGTGCTAAGGAACACGACAACTGCACTGCTTCAAAGGTACGATGGTTGGGGCCATGTACCATCAAATCTTGGGTGAGAACCTCCTTCCCTCAGTTAGGGCATTGAAAATGGTTTGTGGATGTGTATTCCAGCATGACGATGACCCAAAACACACAGCAAAGGCAACAAAGGAGTGGCTCAAGAAGATGCACATTAAGGTTCTGGAGTGGCCTAGCCAGTTTCCAGACCTTAATCCCATAGAAAATCTGTGGAGAGAGCTGAAGTTTCAAGTTGCCAAACGTCAGCCTCAAAACCTTAATGACTTGGAGAGGATCTACAAAGAGGAGTGGGACAAAATTCCTCCTGAGATGTGTGCAAGCCTGGTGGCCAACTACAAGAAATGTATGACCTCTGCGATTGCCAACAAGGGTTTTGCCACCAAAGGAGGATCAAATACGTATTTTACTCATTGACATGCAAATCAATTTCTAACCTTTTTGACATACGTTTTTCTGCATTTTTTTTTTGGTTATTCTGTCTCTCACTGTTAAAATACACCTACCATTAAAATTATAGACTGATCATTTCTTTGTCAGTGGGCAAACGTTCAAAATCAGCAGGGGATCAAATATTTTTTCCCCTCACTGTATGGGTTGGTATGATAATGAAAAGTACGAACTTCTGCTTTATCCGAGAAACATAGACTAGAATGTCCATGGGTGCCCGACACAACAAAGTAAATGGTTTGACAAGTTATTAGATGGAGGCTGGGTACTCCTGGCAACATTCAGGGCTCGAGTCCTGCAAGAACGCGTGGGAACTGCGTTTCTGCACATTTTCCATAGCAGGAACACCGTTCTCATTAGTGGTCCTGCTGCTCCTGCAGGACTTGTTTGCCCGCATTGGCATTGGCCTTGTTAGCCTTGTGGGCAGACGGCAAGGGAGCACTGATCTGTGAGCTCTCCCTGCCCAGCTCCCTCGCGTGCCGCAGAGTGATGCCGGGAGCCGGAATATGACGTCATATTCCGGCTCCCTGCATCACTCTGCGGCATGCGAGGCAGCTGAGCAGGGAGAGCTCACAGATCAGCACTCCCTCGCCTCCCACCTGGATCTTCACTACCCGCACAGACTGGCCAGCAGCCTCACTGGACCCCAGGTAAAGATTATCTACCCAGCTCTCCCAAATGTAGGGAGGCTGGGTGGATTTTTAAAAAAAAATTGTGTGTGCTGTGTTTGTGTGTGTTTGTGTGTCCTCCTACCCACCTTACAGTCCCCCTACCCACTTCACTACCCACCTCACAGCCCCCTTACCCACTCCACAGTCCCCCTACCCACCTTACAACCCCCTACCCACCATAAAGACCCCTATCCCCCCATACAGACCCCCTACCTACCTCACAGTCCCCCTACCCACCTTACAGCCCCTTTACCCACTCACAGCCCCCCTACCAGACCCCATGCCCACCATAAAGACACCCTTCCCACTCACAGTCCCCTACCCTCTCACAGCCCCTACCTTCTATCCTGTGGTACCTTCTCACAGCCCCTCACCCTCTCACAGCCCCCCTATCCTTTCACAGCCCCCCTACCTCTCACAGCCCCCCTATCCTTTCACAGCCCCTCTACCCTCTCACAGCCTTCCTACCCACACCTTGTCACAGCCATCCCCACCCTGTCTCCCCACACACTGTCACTGCCCCCTCCACAAACGCTGTCAAAGCCCCCTCACACACCCTGTCACCTCTCCACACACACACCCTGTCACTCCCCCTTAACACGCACCCTGTCACCCTCACACACACTCTGTCATCCCCATACACACACGGACACCCCCTTCATACAATATTACACTCCCCAATTACTTTCTGTCACACACTGTCAGCCCTTCACCCAGCTATATATATATATATGCATACGAGCGTATCATTTTTTTTTTTTTAGGGGGGAGGTGGATCTTGGGTGAGTTCCCACACTTTTTTCCCCATGACTTGACCCTTGAAGATTAGTATACTGTGGTTGTTGTGATGCTTGGAATGTCCCATTAATGGATCAGAGATCATGGCTGCATTACTTTTATCTTTACAATGACAATATATTTTATTAGTGAAAACTGGGAGCCTCCATGTTAGTGGAATAAATACTTAAAGAATTTCTTTAAAAAAAATATATCCTTCAAATAATTGATCTTGAAATCCACTGTGTCAAAATACAATATTATGCATAAAGATTGTTTAATATGTCATTTGAATTTGGTGATCAGAGATTTATATCTGTGGTGTGCCAATTCAATTAAAAAGGTAGACTCACAAAGTGTCTATGGGGATCAAAACTACTGATAAGAACAGGGTGACACTCTGAGTGTCAATTAAAAGGTTAAGCTCAAAGATTCAGTTGTACAATAGGTTATGCTTTTCTTCATATTACTAACAGAGACTTATAAATTATATTATTACATACTATATTAATAAAGCAAAGAAGGTTCAACATTAATGTATGAATTGTATTTTACTATTTACTATTTTATTGATAAGAAAAGTACAATAAATTCCAAAAGTATTGCTCAATTTTAGATTGTGTGTGTGATAGATGGAAATATATTGTGGTCACAATAAGAATTATTGCTATACGCAATAGTAGTATACAATGTCAGTAACTATAATTTGTTTAACTATTCATACTCTATGTTCTTCAGAATGGACAGCTATAAACTTATGGTTTAGCTATAAACTTATCCTCCACCGTCCATGACTCCTCTCCTGCAACTGTCGTCAAAAATGACCTACTAAGCCCTCAGCTTATATTTTTCTAACTACTTACTTCATACCCCTACTTTTACCCTTTGTGTCACTATACCCCACTCCCTCTAGCATGTAAGCTCATTGAGCAGGGCCCTCCACCTCTCTGTTCCTGTACGTCGAGTTGTCTGGTTACAATCAAAGGTCTGTTAGTCCACCCTTTGTACAGCGCTACGGAATCTGATGGCGCTATATAAATAATAAAATAATAATAATAATAATGGTGAACAAAGACCTAGAGAGCTCCCACTTGTGGCCACTGTTGATGTTGCACTAATAGATCAAAAATAATTACTGCACACATTTTTTAATTTTTTTTTTAATTTTTATAATGACCTCTTTCTAACAATTAAATTAATTTATTTGAAAAGCAGAACATACGATTCACATAGGAATGTGGACTTAAAAAAAACAACCCCCCCCCCAACAAATATATATAATATATATATATATATATATACACGTATATATTAAGTTTTTATTATTGAACAGCAAAACATTAGCGTGGGCTATATTAACAAATATATATTGATGTGTATGTAGGTGTATATATGTAAATCTTTCATATATCATATATACAAGCACACACATATGGAGTTATGTCAGTAACCCATTGTCTTTCATTTTCCAGTCTACACATGGAGAATATTCAGGCAGAGCGTTAATAAAAGAACAGGTATATTTCTGACTGTTATATTAAATAATGTAATATTGTGAATGGAGTAGTACATACAGTATTCTGGAGGTGTGAAAACAGCTTGGTGCATTTCTTTTGGACTTGGGTGTTTAACAAAGTTAAATGTTCATGGTCCATCAACAAAAACAAGGTTTTTACCTAACCTCCAACCATTGTATTAAGCCAGAAAGCCAAGAGAAGTGTGGCTGATGCAAAATATTAACCACATAGTGTATATGAACTATATATATATATATATATATATATATATATATTTCAGCTCTTTCTAGGCTACTGAATATCACATGCAGCACTCACACAAATATTGTCAAATATATAGTAGCAATATATGTATAGATTTGGAACCTTGTACACAGATTTATATATATATATATATATATATATATACAGATCTCTCTCTCTCTCTATATATATATATATATAAATATATATATATATAGATATAGATATAGATAGATATGTATGTATATATATATATATATATATATATATATAAATATTTATATATATATATATACATATGTGTACAAATACCTGTATGTTTGATATGTTGCTACATATTAATATATATAGATTGATGTTTGTATGTGTATTAGTATTTATGAACAGAGAACTTTAGTTGTATGTTTACATGTGTATTATTTCTTTAGTTATGCCATACAGATGTTGTTTACAATATATTTTGCAGGCTGCAATACATTCCATAACCACTAGGTTTTATATTCCATGCATGTTGCTGGCAGCCCAATTCAGATTATCAATGCAGAAGTGCAGAGAAAGGGGTTATGATCAACGGTAGCATCATCAGGTGATGGTGAAGAGCACATGAGTCCTGTGATAGTGATCCTTTATTGATAGAGAGTGATGTGCTCACACAGTGATCTTGTTCTCCAGGGCAGTGATTCTTTTTGATACTGCTTCGAGTAAGCAATAAGTTAAAGAAAGATATCTGGATTGCAAAAATTGCTTTCACATTAAATTACTGAACTACCAGAATGGTGTGAATTATTCCAATATTTATTGAAATAGTTTAAATCTACCGTTACCTATAGAGGTAAAATATAAGCTGTTGTTTTGTAACCTACTCTATATAAAGTGCGAATGTCAGCTTTTCAGTGTTTGGAACCACTACATGCAGGTCTGCAGAGGACATGTACTTTTTATACACAGATCAAGTGAGAAGTTACCAAAGGAGGGAAGAATGAGCAGTAAAAAAATACATAAATCTATATTTATTTATTATCTACTTACTTAATATATATTCCCTCTTTTTCCCTCTGTTGGTTACTTTTTCTCACTTTGTCCTCAATTTGATATTGTTGAATAAGATTTCCAAATGATTTCATAATTTTGGGTAAATATTTACAATTATTTTTTGAAAATGTGAAAATATAAAAAATACATCTTATAGATACATATATCTATATATTTTAAAAAAATATAAAACTTAAAAAAAATACAAAAAAAATAAAATGTAAAACTAGCAACTGGGCAGCCATTCACTAGAAAGACCCCAATTGTATTGGGGATTGTTCCTGTAAAATAACAGGAGGGATATAATCCTCCAGCTTTCACACAGTTCTGCTCGGTGAGGTGCAGATTTAATAAATATAATATTAATATTTTAAAATAATAATATTTTTTTATTTATTTTTTTTAATCCCAGACCCAAAGAATGTCCTTAACATAGGTGCCATCATTACCGAATATGCCGGGACAGACTGGGCTACTGTACCTGCCAAATTAAGTCAGGGTGTCCTGTCTTGCATTTTAAAATCTGCCAGGAGATTTCAAAATACAGAAGGGAACTAGGGACTAGATTGCCTAAGCAGTGCTCTGTTCATAATATGTTTAAAGGGACAGGCTGTCAGTCAGTGTGTCCACTCTATATAGCCACTTTACATCCACTGACCACAAAGAACCCAGAAGTTGAACAGGGAAGATTAGCAGATATGTCTTAATAGAATCATGCATCAAAACCACTTATAGATGATTATTTTGTTTAAAATACAGTCTGATTGTTTTAGAAAGGTTTTATGTTGATGACTATTTTAAAAATCAACAGCATTTGAGGTGTAACCTGCATAACCAATTTTACTTCTCCTTTAAATCCCCTGGAACAATATTTGACTAAACCAGTCCTCATGACCCACCAACAGTCCGGGATTTATATATTTCCCTGTTTTCATATGGAGATACTGACAAAAACCTGGACTGTTGGTGGGTCTTGAGGACTGGTTTTGGAAACACTGCCCTAGAAACAATACATCTCACCCAACTGGTCATCAAAATCATGAGACCAATAGTTAAGATGGCTTCTGTTAGTGTTATATGTATAAGGTATCTCTAGTTTTATGTACTTTAATCTATGAATGCAACTACACAGATCTATCAAATCTAAAAAGTAGATAACGCCTTCTTTGCTCATCTTATATAAAAAAGGATATTCTTCTTTGTAAGTGACTGGATAAGCTCCTCCACCTTTGTCTGGAACTTGACAATGGATTCACATTCACATGGGTTCTCCTCTGGTGAAAAACAAAGAAGATATCCACTGGTTATTCAACTCAATTCTTTACATGCTTTCATAATGCAGTCATTACTTTCCATTCGGCAGTAACACAACATTCCAATTCTTATGGGGTCTGTTGGCTTATTATTGGCACTTACCGACGCAAATCTTAACTTGCAGTTTCTTGCCAATCTCTTTCATAGCCTTAAAGTCAGCAGTGTAAAAGTAATGTTCAGCCACTGGCTCTGAAGCAATCATTCTCAATTCTTCATCCACAGCATTGCCTACACCTACAGCATACATCTTGTAACCTATGGAATAGTCAAAAGTCAGCTGTGAATTTATTTTTTATTTTCTATAAAATATTTTAATGGTTTTCAAAATGTATATGGCATACAGAAGAGAATAGTAAAGAAAGTAGAAAATAATAAACAAATTATAATCAAAAGCATAACATTTACTTTTTTTTTAAATTAAACAGATAAATTACTAATAGAGTCAATGAAAGAAAACTTCTAGAAGATAAATAAAAAAGAGAGAAGCGATGGGGAGTCCAATATTTCAAAACCATCCCACTCATTAACAGATAAAGTAAGTTTCCTGAACTTCGCTAAAACATTATTTTAATTGACTCAGAATGTGAATCATCAATATATATCATTATCTACAGCAAATGGATGACAAAGCATCATAAGGAATGATTTTCAACAACTGAAAATGTAGAGAATAAGTACTCATTACTGTTTTTTCACGGATCTAACATTTAGTTTGAGAGTAAAACTGCAATTTTGCAGTTGTCCAATTCTATCTCAAAGGAACACCTATGATTTATATATACATATATAAATTTAAATATAACATTTACATTTAAATTTCAGGATAAAGTTTCTCTCAGTTGTGAATACAGTGAGTCATTATCTTTTGATATGCATTACTTGAAAACTGCTAATTCACAACTCCATTAATATAATTTTTATATTATATGCATAAATGGAAAATTATGCATCTAATTAGTTGAATTTTAGAGTAGATAGTCTGCACATTCTGACGTGTGCTTGTTTAATTCACAATATCTTAACACTTTTTTGGTGTTCTCTCTATTCCTAGAGTACATTTTTTTTTTGTTTGTTTTGTTTTAAATCAATTTCGATATAAACTTGGTTTTAACTACATTATTTAATTCACGTTGAGTGTGAATGTTTTACTCTTGGTGTTATGCCCAAACCTTATATTTTTCTTTATGATATGCTCCTTAATTAACAATGTTTTATTTTTCTGTTGTATTACAATTGAACATGATATTTTCTCACATTTATGAAGCTAAGAAAAATGTCATGAAACTCTATGTACCTTTGACACTAGACCAACTTACCCAGTTCTTTGGCCTTGAGGGCAGCATCATTGATGTAATCCTGTGAGCGTCCATCAGTAAAAACAATGCCAACTTTGGCAACACCTGGTCTTCCCCCACTGGATATGGCAAAGCTGTTATCAATAAGGTACTGGATAGCCTGGCCTGTCATGGTGCCCTTCTCCATATAGGACATTTTTTTCACTGCTGACTTAATGTCTTTCTTGCTATTGTACCTTCCCAGTGGGAACTCCTGTCTGACTGAGCTGGAGTACTGGACGAGGCCCACGTGAGCCTTCTTCTCACCCACATCCACAGACTCTACAATCTGGTTGATGAACTGCTTGACAAGGTCAAAATTTTCTGGGCGTACACTCTTGGATCCATCAATTAAAAACACCAGGTCGATGGCAGAGGCTCCACAAGCTAAATAGAATGGAAACAAGTTATTAATATCTTTACTTTTCTTCATAGAGGAACCAGGATGAAATTGGATAAAGGTAATATCTATCCTTTCATACTTGCCAATACATAACCAGATTCCTTTATTATGACCATTCATTTTCAGACTCTTACATTATCCAGGGTTTCCTAAAGATTTCTGGAATTCTTGACAATGTCTCATTCTGACATTCATCACATTCTCACACCTCTTACCAATTTTTTGTGTGCTTCAGTGACTTTTCTCTTCTTGTTTTCCAGGATTTGCATTTGTTTGTTCTGCTATTTTACTTACCACAACCAGCCATTTATCCTCTCTCAACAGTCTTTCTTTCTCTTTTTACTTGGATAGCACCTTAGTTGAATAACAGTCTGTGTTGGCAGGCACCTTTCCAAAGTACAGGATCAATGGATTGAATAGTGGAGCTATTCTGGTCTTATTTTTTTGGCCAATGGATCTATTAATATGCTTACATCTTCATGTTTTAAATACATTTTCCGTTTGCCATGTGTATTCTGAAAATAATTTTTTTCCTTACGAATTCAGTCTTACTCGTTTTCATGAGCATGCATGGTTTGATTCTATCTTCTATTTCTACTTTAATATAGCTCACCATTACAGGTCTTTCCATCTTCATTTAACGTGAACCCATCCCTGCATGCACAAGTGTATGAACCTGGGGTGCTGACACATATTTGCTCACAATCGTGATCCCCACTGGAGCAGAGGTCAGCCATGGCTTGAACAATAAAAAAGAAGGAGAACATTAATGCATATTGTGTGTGTGCATATATATATGTATGAGAATACACATATATACATATATTGCACACATCAAGCTGTGCTACTAAACAGCAGTATCAATGACTCACCACAAAAAGCCTCTTGGAACTTCTTGCTTAATTTTTCAATAACGCTATAGCTTTCTACGTAATCCACATGATCATCGAGTTTTTCACTAGCAATCTGACGCAAGGTGTTCAAATCCACACGTCCCACTCCAATGGCAAATATCTCTATTCCACTCTCCCTAGCTCTTGCAGAAATATCCTTCACTCCATCCTGGGGACGGCCATCTGTTACCACAATAGCCACCTTGGGACCAGGACATAATAAAAAATTAAAATTTTTACCTTTTCAATCTAGATTTTACTTTTCACACAAAATGTGTCTAATAACTTCCCTCTAGTCTAGAACATATCCTTCCTTTTTGACTTCCCTTAAAAGTTTCCATATTTTCTAATGAAACAACCTGATATTAAAATTTGATTTAGTATAAATATTTTTCAGGTTTTTTTTTACATAATATACCTAATACTTTAGCGGTGTCAAATGTTTTATGAGAAATAAAAACATTTAAACAGATCTTGCAATGAGACTCTCTATTCATTAGTTTTGCCACAAGGGGTTGACATCTTACATATCAAATATAAATTTTGTACTTGCAATGTGTTAGGCATGTAGTGTAAATCGGAAAAGCTCAATAAAATGTAATTTTACAAAAAGGTGGAAATATCATGGGTGAGGTGTGAATACAACATCTCACTGTTATTTATCTCTACATACACACTCTCCGTCAGTCTTCACTGGACTATTACTGTATCTTCAACATGTTCATATAACATGTTCCTATAACACCCATGTTATAAAGGATTCTCTGGAATAAAGCTGCATCGATTTTGCAGTTCACTTATACAATGTCAGAAGACATAGATATTTTGCTAAAGAATAAATTGAGAAGTGGACAGGATGTGGCCATCAGCAAAAATTGTATGCAATGGCCAAATTCTTCATCTATTCATGCCTACGTTACCATCATATGGAAGAAGCCTCTGTTCTTAATCTTGTAACATAGCTATATATATATATAAATTATGTTTTCATGGTTCACATTGCATAACTCACAGAGATATAGTATTCCACTGTGGTGAAATCAACTGCAGAATGAGTGAAAGTTTCAAACTGTCAGATGAAACTCTTAAGCTTTTCTTTGTTGTTACTGTTTTGTTGTGTGTGCTTACCAGAATGGGATAATAACTCTTATTTGGAATCCCTTCCTGGTACCTAGGGGTGGTTGAGAAATTGGGCGTGAACACTCTGTCCAATATTATGCAATAGGTTATGCAGTACAATGGCGTCCAGTCCTCAAATATTTGTATTGCTTTTTTACTAAGAATAGTCCAGTGTGGGATAAGGGGACCAAGGGGCTGTATGCCCAGAATTTTAAGACACCCCTCTAATCCTGCCCCGACCCGCAAAGAAAAAGTATTTCCTTATAAAACATACACATAGGTAAAGGGTTTTAAATTAATATGAGGGTAAAGGATACGTTAAGGGTTAAAGGGTTTAGACAGAATTCAAACTTATCATTAGTGTGAGTTTTGGTAAATTGAGTCTCTAGAGTTAAGTTGTTTGGGATTAGCAGGTTGTCTGGATATTGGGGTTTTCGGTTTAGAAATATGTTAAATTTAGGATAAGTAGAATTGAAAATAAAATGTTTATTTGGTGTTACAAGTTAAAGTTAGACAAAAATGTTTGTTTAGATTTGTATTTAGGAATGGGGTTACATTTAGGGTTGAGGTAGTTAGAATTATGGAGGTGCTGAAGTATAATGTTAGTGGTACAGAGTAATAATTGCTCCTTCCTGCAGAGCATTTGCTGTTTAAAAGAGGCTATTAATGGGTGAAGAGGAAGTGACATTGCATCTCTTCAGCTTCCTGTTTACTCCCATCACTCGGAGAATGCTGCACGAGAACCTGCAATGACAGCTGTTCATGATACACACATACTGGGTTACTCACTTAAGTGAAAATGCAAGGAAAATATAGCTGCGCTAAGTCAGCTATACTTCCAGATATTCCATTTTGGTCTTAAATTAGAAATGCAGTTTGAATTCACTTTGAATTGCTACTTTGGTGAATAATCATGTCTGTCATTACTCCTGCATCAATACAAGTAATGCAGCAAACTCCAAACGCAACTACAGATCATTTCCTCAGATGGCACCAAGAGGAGCAGATATGTCTGGTCACTCCAGAAGGCTGCTGGTTTGCTAATTGCATCCATCTGGAGTGGCTGCAGTTATACAAATCAAATGCAGTTCACAGTCAGTCCCCAGCCTCTTTGGTCTAATCATTTTTGCTGTGTTCCCGTTCCTGATAAGTTAATAAGGAATAAAGGGTCCTTTTATAGGCACATTTTAAGTAAAGATAGACATCCCTGAAGTGCATGTATAAGTAAGCAGGTATCTAATTTGCAACATGCAAATTGGTGTTGTAAGAATTGGGATGGCGACCTTCTGTTTTTTTTTTAGTTACCAAATTAATAGTTTGAAAATGACTTTGATGCTCAACGAAAGACAACTTTAAAAAGCCATTTTGATTCACCCTGAAAAATTTTTTTATAGTGGAGAACCCTATCAGAACCATCTATAAAACCACGTTTTTATACCAGACTCCTTATCCCTCATAACCACACTCTGTACTTCATTTAATTGTGACTATAACCTGAAACATGTTTTCTACACATGTATGCAATGCTTTTACTTTGTTTTACAATTTGTGAAATGAAAGATTGCTGTGGTACATTTAAATGTAACTAAAATCAGTGGCAGTGTTTGCCTCACAATAGTCTGTGTGTTTCTGAATATGGTGTGACGTGAAAGCCCGTTACCCTACACCTTATATGGGGCCCACATGCTGTGCTTTGGAAATCCCTGCAGATAACACCTCTGGCAGGTTTCTATTCTACCTTATCACAAATGCATTTCCTTAGCTAAATGTCCAAAAAGAGGACAAAAGTCAAATTTAACATCCTGAGTACCAGAGATTCACTCAGATCAATGGTGATAATTTATTACTTTGTGTTCTGCAAGCTTGTAATATTAACTATTTACCCAGAATACTGTGATAATTGTGACATATTAAAGTGAAGAAGGCCACTTATTCCCAACATTGATTGTGACATTTATGGATCTGTTTTTTTACTAGGGTCAAGAAATGTACATTTTAGTGCTGTATTCTGAACTATCTGTTTAAACCTAGATGTCTTCATTGCATTAATGTCTGTAATGAGTCATTCCCAACCTGGAAACTACTCCAATTGCCATCATAGATTTCTCTAACTGATTGATGGAAATTTTACATGATTTGTAACATTTATATAACATTTATGTTTATCTCTGAATCCAGCTGTTATTTGGGTTTCTTTTTTTTGTATATTGTGTTTATTTATATATATAATTCTTGTTTTTAAATACATGAATATAGTTTTTCTTTTTGTTTTAAAGGCATAGGTAATAATTAAAAAAATATTTCCATTTCACCTTCAACAAATCAAATTAAACAAGTCCATATAGAATATAATTTCCAGTCTTCTTGAGTGACATATTAAAGTGAAGAAGGAGATAATTTAATAGAAGGCGATAATTTAATAATAGAGTCAGAAAATATTTTATCAAAGCTGATATGCCTGTCAGGAATAGGTGTTTTCATAGGGAAAGTTATGTAGATTTGCATAGAGAGCCATAAAATAATCCAAATAAGTATCATAAGCATATTATATAATGTTTACACATATATCATAATTATAATTACTCTAAAAATGCTTAATAAAAATTACTTTAAGATGTAGCATTATTTTTTCTTTTTACTTTTCTCACCTTGCTGATGTCAGGAGATCTCACACGTGCCCCCTCAGCCTCAGTGAAGGCATGGTTTATGGCAAATTGAATGGCAAGCCCTGTCATAGTTCCAGTAGACAGCGGCTGGACTTTCTTGATAGCTTGAAGAAGAGAGGCTTTAGTTTTATGGGTTTTGAGAGAGAATTCATTTTTGACTGAACTAGCATAGTTGAGGAGTCCAACTCTTGTAGCATTGGCACCCACATCCAGACTCTCAACAACCTGGGAAAGGAAGACTTTGGCTTGCTCAAATTCAGAGGGGCGTACACTACGAGAGCTGTCTATGATGAACACCAAGTCAGTCGGACGAGTCCTGCAATTGGGACCTTTTTTGGATAAAGGCAAAGAAAAAATAAATTAACAATTTCAAGAAACCATATGAGTCATTATTGACATCTGTCAGAGGTCATTAGGCGCATTTCTGTAAATATGCCCTATAATTTACCATCGGACATCCATAAGTATTTAGGACTTTAACTCCATCCTTGATACAGCAAATAATGAGTCACATATCATAGTGTCAACTGAATTATTCATGCACTATAAAATGTTAAATTGGACTATTGCACTATGTTGATGAGAATCTAAAACAGTCCTTACAATTTGATTACTGCATGTTCAGGCAGATAACACATTTTAATTTAGTTTCTAAAAAACCAAGTTATCGGTTTTTTTTAACCCTTTTAATTTGATGAGACTGTTCATTTATCTTTGGACATTGACCCCATATTTGTTTGAATCCAGAATACTTGGGTTGGTTGCCATTGATATCAATAGTACCAGTATTAGTGATCATAAATAGGCATTTTTAGAATTCTTTTTGCATGAAGAAAGTTGGATTGGACACACATATATGGTGTTTAGGCATAAAATGTTTCTTTATCAAGCTACTGTGGGAGCCAAAATGTTGTATGGTTTTCCAATAAAATCTGCCTAAACATCATCTATATGTGCCTGGTCCAAATTTCTTCATGATTATTGAAACATTGGAAATGGCCTATGCTGGTCTATGGATGGAAATTTGTGAATGCCACTCTGCGTTATGCATATTCAAGGAAAATGTTGTGTCTAGTTTCTTTGGTCTCTCTAACTAATATTGATATGTACAGCAGTTTGTTTTGTTTTCCAGGGTTGTCAAACATGAGGCCTGTTCACTATATGTATTTGGCAAACAAAGCATATGTATCCAGCTCACAGTTTGTGAGTGTAGTGTTAACGGAATTTCCGGTGCTAAGCCTGACCACAGGGTAAATGCATGCACTAACAGCAAAAGAATGGACTTTGAGTCAGAAAAGGTGAGCTAAGAGAGACAAATAGAATGTAGAGTACATAAATCAGGGAATTTGGAGAGCACTGAAAAAAGATACTGAGGAAACTTGATAGACAGACAGAGCAAAAAGTTATGGAGCCCACAGAAGGGACATTTCACAGATATTCTGGATAAATCATGTTGTCTTACTGACTGCTGGAAAATGGATTTCTATGTTCATAACACAGAATTTATTTGGCGGTGTGTGATATTACTATTCCTATTAGTGCCTGAGAAATCAATGCAGTGAGTAAACGTTATGTACAAATTGCTTGTGTCATTTTGGACTGATAATTTATCATTTGGTTATGGCTGAAGCCCAGATTTTGTCACTCAGACAGTTTATAAATAGTTATATTGGTGGTGGATGAGGCAATAATAGAAAGGAGACTAACATACAGAGATAGAAAATTACCAACAGTGGGGAAGTATATAGAGCAGTGGTACGCAACCTTCACCACTCCAGATGTTGTGGCCTACATCTCCCATAATGTACTTACAGCCATAATGCTGGAAAAGCATCGGGAGAGATGTAGCCTACCTTGATATAAGGAGATTCTGGAAATGACAGTCATCAACAGAAATGGGCTGATTGATAATGAGGTAAAAATAATATGGGTGAAATATTTAGCTTTTTTTCCGAAAGCCCTCTTAAAAGGCATGAGATCACGGGGAGATAATTTGTGAAATGAGAATTAGGAGCATAACTGAGGACATTCACAAAATGCCAAGATACTACAACACAGCAATTCATCAATGCACACTTATACAAGCTTGATTTAAATCTCAAATAAATCAAAACATTATTTAGCACATTTATAGTCATTCTACATAGTCATTTGTTTGCCATATTCGTTTATGCTGAATCTTTGTTACAAACAAATAAAAATTCAGGTTTTTTTAAACATCCTATTTCAGTTTAGGATATAAAACTATCACAATTTTCTTAAAGCTCTATATTATTAAAGATATATTTGTGTAAACGTAAAAAAAACTTTGCTTTTTCTTTTTTTAATGACATTCTGATTGCATTTATGATTGGATACCTCTGCTGTGTAATGTGTCAAGTTGTACACAGGGGTCTATTTATTAAACAGCAATGTATGTGAGTTGATAGCGCTGTTTGGAAATCTAGTCCAAAACAGTATTCAGGAAAAATAAATCTTCTTAGTCTTGCTTAATGGTGATTTGTTCTCTAACATAAATATTCGAGCTAGATTTTAAAACTTGGCTGTCAACATACTCCCGTTTACTCTTCAATATCTATATACACTTGTTTAGTTTTCTTCGGTACCCCAATGCTCCAGGTTTTGTCAGCATTCTCTTTGGAATACAAGTAAGAATTGCCTATGTCCTGGACAACTAGTCGAGTGTATGCCCATTATGATGCATGTATACACAGGTATTAGCCAAAATCATATGCTAGGAAGATGCATCATATTTTCAAAATACTTAATATATGCATATTTGACCTGTTTTGTACCATGAAAGTATCACCTTGTACTTAAATGAATTCTAAACTTTAAATATAGCATTTTTCTTCTTTGGAAATAACTCATCACATCATTTTTAAATACCCCTTAAAAATGTTCATAGAATGAAGTGTAGTCTTTAGGTTAAATATTATTTTGTCTCCTTAAAACCAAAAGCTGACTTTGAGTCCGTTCAGCTTCTGCAAAGAGAGACTATGGTTTTGATTCACAACTGATATAGGAAAACTAAACGTGAACTTCAGTATCGATGTTGAGAGAAAACAAGTGTCTCTCACTGGTAAGATTGCCACCTTCCACAGCAGGAGTGTAAAAATGTTACCTAATAAATCTTACGGAAACAGTGTCATGGATAGTATTTCATTCTGAAAACGATAACAATCACACTCATTCCACACAAGCGGTGAGAAAAGGTTGTTACTGGATTGTTCAGCTGACCTTGTACGTAGTATACCTATTGTCAAAAATCTTTTTTTTCAGAATGTCAGCTGTGATACAGCTGGTAACAGAAAATAGAGTGCAACTTAGAATATTCACTCTATTTGCTACAAATTCCACTAACTAGTTAAGTATGTTTGTTTTTGTTTTTTGTTTAATAGAAAATAAAAACAAGCACACAGGTTCTAAAGTGAGATGACTATAAAATCTTTTATAACTGTCCTGTGAATGAAAAGTCAGCTAAGTGGAAACTCCCAATTAAACTTAAATAAAAACACTACCATCTCAACCTAAGTCTCCAAAATTTTCCATGTAGTTGGCATAGAATTTTCCTAGATCACAAGTTTACAACCCAGACCCCGACGCACACCAAAGGTTCAGGTTTTGTTAATTTCTTCACTGAAACAGAATAGGGAAATTCTTAAATCCCAAACTGCTTGTGTAACTTGAGGATTGGACTGGAACCACTAGCCTATATCAGCCTGTTGAATAAAAAAAACCTAAGCCAGGCAGAACTATTCATGTGTCAAGCTAAGTTTTTAGCAGACATTTAAGAATTGTACCCACAGGTAATGTGATTGTAATATATTTAGATTTGTTGTGACTTTAGAATTGACGTAAAACATTTACGCCAAACTAGCAATATTGAAAAAAAAATCTTCAACTGGTCGAAAAATCTATCTTTCAATATTTAAAAAATTGGTTCTCAAACTGCCATTCCCGTGAATAGACTGCTATAAGTCTCCTTGTAACATAATCTTAAAAAAAGGAATCCTAGACTTGGAGATTTGTTTCGTTATGAACTGCAATTCCCCGATCGTGTGATTGTTAGAATTTCTCAACTTGTAGCAAAAATGTTGCCAAATCACGATACAAACAAACCGCGCAATGGCCAAGACAAAAAAAGACTGATGGGAAAAAGATGATCGATGCCTAGGGGACAGTTGACTTTATTTAGAGATCAAGTCAAAGTTGTCATAAAGAGGGAAAAAAGGAGGAGCAGTAAAAATGTATTTATATATTACACATTTCATAAATATATAATATCTAGATATATAAATTTCATAAATATATAATATCTAGATATAATAATTTATTTTATTCCTTTTTCCCTCTACTTGTTCTAAATTAAACCTGGGAACCAAATGGTGGAAAAATGCTCCTATCAGTGTACTGCAAAATGCGTACATAATATTTATATTAGGACTGTACTTTGCAGTTAATTGATTGGCCCATTTTCATATATTTTTTGTTGTGTCTGATTTGTTTTCTTAATCAGTTTTTCGTTACCAAAATTCTAGCGAGTCAAACTGCCATATGGCTAAAATTTGGTAGTCCAGAAAAGCAAACATGGTTCTGCCAAAAAAAAATTCTCGCCATGCACAAGTCTAATGAATCATATCTGTCTGCAATGATTATTCGTAGTACATGACAAGCCATGGTTGCCTAGTACAGGGTACCCTGTTTCAAATAATCCAAGGGTAAGAAGCATGCAGTAACAATTTTGGAAGCCAAAATTCTCTGACAAACATGCTAAACCTTGACCTTAGTCACTTAGCAAAAAACTGTTATTTTATGATATTTTATCATCTGACCACATTAATTTAGGCAACTGATATAAGTAAGAACTCAAATGAAATAGTAAAGCATTGCAAAGAGCCACAATAATAAAAAAAAAAGTTGAAAACCACAAAAGCATATAGATGTTTGGCAATAAAATCTAAATGCTTTAAACTGTAATACATTTAATCCACTTTTTCTTTACAAACAGATTTAAAAAACACCCACTCATTTATAGACTCTCTATGTAGCATTTAAAAATACACACTTATCAAACAACCCGAAATTCCTAAGAGGAAGTATTAATGCATTTCTATAGCATTTCCAATGCATAATTTTTATGTGGATAAATGCAAAATGATATAGGGTATATATTGGGAAAGTGTATATCATGACAAAATATTGCCTCTGAGGTGTTCTGGAGATAATGAACTACAAGCTCGAAAGGGACACTCATGCCAGACGGCTAACCAAGATTGGTGGGACAGCTGTCCTTAATGCAACCCACCTTCAAAATGATATGCTGGGAGAGGAGCTGAGGCAAGACCAAATCACACAGTTTTTTTTCTCGAGTCCATCTCCTAGCAAAGTATTATAGGCACAGGAGCTGGATTTGTAGAAACGTATATATTGCAACTGTTTGCCAGAAATGTAATTCACACTGCTATTGGCATGCCAGTATATATATGTGCCAGGGCTGTGGTGGGATTAGGACCCCCTGCACTGCATGGTGTAATTCACACTGTGCACTATGGTTCTTAATGCACGTAGTGACATCAACCATGGTAAAGTATTGGATCTGAAAAAATGTTATATCTGAAATAATGATACAAATTAAATTACGGCGCACACATAAAAATACACTAATAATCTTATAAAACGACTTAATTCGCCTATCTAGGACGACCAAATATGGGGATTCAGTTCCACCATATGACCATATTGTGTTAAGCCCTCCACTACTTCACAGTACCCCAATATCGGTGGGTCCTACGCTAAATCCAAATGTGGGAGACAAATAAATAGTGCTAAATAAGCTAAGGTGTATTAAATGAGTCTATTGTAAGAGCATTATGAGTATACAAAATTAATGTGATAAAAGCAATTAAAACAGTGTTAAAACCAAACAATTAAAGTGCAAGTGCTTGAATGAATATACTCACAATGCAATATTTGAAATAATGGACTTATCACATAATAATATAACTGATTACCATGTATTTTTATAATATAATAATATATCCAAATAACTGGCAATGTGAATTACTGAAATACTGAGTATAAAAATGAGTAAATATCGGTTTGTCAACTTTTTTCTTTTCTTTTTACTTTTATTAGAAAAAGTACATGCATCAATAGAATTTATTCATTCTGAAATTGCACCTGAGTAATAACTTTTGAATTACAAAATGTAAAATATTAAGTACTCATGGACTAGTTGACTCTAAAAGTTATGGTATTGGAGCAATAGTATCATCCGAGCTATTCTTTCAAATTGTGTAGTTTATTGCATTCTAGAAACATTTCAACCTGTATAATATATTAATTATGTGCAATGCATTGCACATTTTTACATTTTAATTAGTATTTTTTTTTTAAACTATGGGGATGCTTGGTCACTTAGAGACACTTTAATTAATACCTATAAGTTAGTCTACTTCTCAATTGTCACTAAGAACTAAAGTAGACTATGCAATTTATGGACTAGAGAGGACAGTGACACAGAAGAAAGTACTCACCTTGCTGCGGTGGTGGGGCTCCCTGTGTGGCATGGAAGTAGCAGAGTAGTAGGGTGGAAAGGAGACACAGAGAGGGGCTCATGATGTTCGCAGAAGAGTCAGAGAGCAGAGTGAGGATGATGGAATGGGCAGTGTGTGTTCAAGGTATCTTACCTACACCCTTTCAGACACACCTCCCAATTGAGTGACAGGCTGCAGGGGTGTGAAAAGGGAGTAGAAAGGGTGGGATGGGGGATTCGGTGTCCAGTTTATAAGACTTTAAAACTTGGTAATGTAGCAGTATACAGGTAACGGAAATTTCCTGTAACACACATAAGAAATGGTACATTATATCTAACATATTGTTTTACAACTAATGCTGAACTACAACTCCCAGTATCCTCATATGGTGTTCAGGTAACCAGTGATTTACAAAACACAGTGGGTAATTTCTCCAGGATGCAGAGTATATGTTTAAGTATATATTTAATTGCATGTTTATTTTAACCCTGCAAATGCAGATCTAAAGATCTTGCTTGAGGGGATGTTTAAATTTGTTCACTGTTCATTTTTAGTGGAGAAACTAGATGCATTGGTTTGTAGCATGTGAAGTGACAGAGCTAACAAATGGGTTAATAAGGTAAAGGGGCCTTAAATAAGAACCTTTCAGTATGACTTATAAAGGAGTCCTGTATCTAGAGGGAAGACATAAAGGTCTCTGTTCAGCTTCAGGGTGAAATGAAGCCTGCACACAAAGATTCTCCATAACATTCAGCACCGCAGATTACTGCCACAGGGCAATAAGGCAGTATGAGTAACTCTACAGTAACAAGGTTTAATATCATTGGTTTCATGCAGCACTCAATGGGTTTATGCCTTCATGTCTGGCATAAACAGGTCATTATTCTGCACTGCACATCTGCAGTGTAAAGTTTTATTCTAACAAAGTACCTGTTCATATACGACCTTTCATTTCTATCTATATCATTATGCTAATCTTTCTAATACACTGCATAATGCTTTATATTCCTTGGTATAATATTGCCATGTAAAAGAAATTGATGTATAGATTATTGGATCTCTCATTATACATTCTCACTATAATTATTCTGAACTCTCTATTATACCACTCTGTATAACTCATTCTATATATCTATCTCTATAACTCATCCTATCTCTCCACATAACCTCTCCATATAACTTCCCCTGTCTCTCTGTATATCCTCTCCCTATAACTCCTCCTATCTCTCCATATAACCTCTCCCTATAACCCCTCCTATCTCTCCATATAACCTCTCCCAAGAACTCCTATCTCTCCATATAACCTCTCCCTATAACCCCTCCTATCTCACTATATAACCTCTCCCTATAACCCCTCCTATCTCACTATATAACCTCTCCCTATAACCCCTCCTATCTCTCCATATAACCTCTCCCTATAACTCTTCCTATCTCTATATAACCTCTTATTATAAATCCCCCTATCTCTCTATTAAACCTCTTCATTACTCCTCCTATCTCTCTATATAACCTCTCACTATAACTCCTCCTATCTCTCCATTTAACCTCTCACTATAACTCCTCCTATCTCTCCATATAACCTCTCCCTATAACTCCTCCTATCTCTCCATCTAATCTCTCCCTAAAAACTCCTACTATCGCTCCATATAACTCCTCCTATCTCTCCATGTAACCTCTCCCTATAACTCCTCCTATCTCTCCATTTAACCTACTATAGCTCCTCCTATCTCTCCATGTAACCTCTCCCTATAACTCCTCCTATCTCTCCATCTAATCTCTCCCTAAAAACTCCTACTATCGCTCCATATAACTCCTCCTATCTCTCCATGTAACCTCTCCCTATAACTCCTCCTATCTCTCCATCTAATCTCTCCCTAAAAACTCCTACTATCGCTCCATATAACTCCTCCTATCTCTCCATGTAACCTCTCCCTATAACTCCTCCTATCTCTCCATATAACCTCTCCCTATAACTCCTCCTATCTCTCCATATAACCTCTCCCTATAACTCCTCCTATCTCTCCATATAACCTCTCCCTATAACTCCTCCTATCTCTCCCTATAACTCCCCCTATCTCTCCATATGACCTCTCCCTATAACTCCCCCTATCTCTCCATATAACCACTCTCTATAACTCCTCCTATCTCTCCATATAACCACTCTCTATAACTCCCCTTATCTCTCAATATAAGCTGTTTCTATAACTATTTTTATCTCTCTGTAAAGGTAGTCCCAGCCATTGGGAGTATAAGACAGATACTACATCTATTATAGATGCACTGTATGTATTATTGTCATTTGTTAAATGTTTTGAGTGCTCTCTTGGTGGATTTAGCAGTGCAACACCACCAGTTGGTTTTTATCAATCTTGCAAAATTGTACGGCACCATCTGTTGGTTGTAAAGATATTGAAACAGTGATCTGCACTACCAGAATAGCAAGGTGCATTAATTTGCATATCCAGTTATATTTGCATCTTATAGTTAATGCAGGCAAGGGATGCATTTCTTGTCAGTGTTTTTCTTCCCCAACCCTTTATAAATATTGCATTGTGTTATATGAGTGCCTGTATGATATCCCATATGATTATTCTTTATGTATTGGTTTCATTGTGTCACCATAAGTGTAATTTAATGTGCATACAGGCTAGTCTGTAGCCTCTGTTGCATGTTAGTTCCATTGGGAACTGTGTGTCCTGTTTGTTTTGTTCAGGGATTCTAGTGACAGAGTTTTTGGACATGTTGACTGGCTGCAGTGGTCCCTAATTCCAGGGATTAGTTAAGAAAGAGCTAGGCCTGAGAGAGACAAGGTCATTTATAAATGCACTATCTGGATAAAGAGCCTTCCTGAGAGAGGAACAGAAGAGGCAAAAGCTGAGGTGATGATCTCTGGCTGGAAGACGAAAGCTGCAGCCTGATCCAATGGAGGAGGTCCACAGGTACTCACTTGGTGGCAGTGATGGGATGCCTTCCTAACTATAGGGGAAACATCCAAACTACCACCATCAATACAATATGTAATATTATTTATTTTCTGGTTAACAAAGGATGGAATAAAACACAAGTTCATCATGTTCACCCTTTCATATATCTACATTTCTACTACAAAAGAAGACCAATGATTTCCAAATATACAACAATAAAAAAAAAAAGCTAAATAAAATCCTGCTTGAGCCCAAAGTGGCAATCAGATTTCTCCTTGAAAGTGTTCATACCTTTTTTAAATGGAATCTGTTATAACTTTTCTCAAGCTTGGTTTGCTCTCTCCTCTTGAAGTATTCATTGATTTGCTCTGCTTGGGGACGCTTCCCCCAAGTAGAGCAAACCTCCTCTACAATGCTGACATGCTGGATTGATTGCCAGAATGCAACAGAGTGATGTTAGTCATTTCATTTCTATTTTCTCTAGCTAGGTGTGTGGCTGCTATGTCTGGAGGAAAGAAGGGCCACCTGCGGGAGTTCTTTCTTTTCTGCTCTCCCTTGTTAGCCAATTATTCGGCATAGTGTAACTGATTGACAGGAGAGTAAAAAAGAATATTTTTTAAAATGGTTTTCTCCTGATTTGCTAGCAAATCTGATAGCACAATATATAGATCAAATTTAATGCTCCTTAAAAACAGTGGAAGTTTTGCCTAGCATGACAGGTACCCTTTAAAGATACTTTATCTACAAATTCTGATAAAACAACCTCTCCAGGCAGCACATGCTACATCTTTATAGCTGTTTGGTTAATAACTATTGCCCACGAAGTAGATGAAATCTTCTTTCTTCAAGTTTTGTGGAGGAGCTCTAGTAGTTTGTACAGTCCAGATTTGTTTGTAATTCTCCTGAACCATGGGCCAGGTCACGGCTTAGTTTTAAACAATTTTCAGATGTTTTTCACTGAATGAATGTTCCTGGACACCCGCACATTTCTTCTCTTTTTCTTCAGCTAATGCTTCCTCATTAGCTAGACCAGCAATGAGCAGGAATGATGGCCAAATGCTCTAAACCTGCCCATTCTAGTATGAATTGGTACAGACTAAAGGTCCGGTTGCCGATGCTTAGAGACCCACATTTAGTATTAAACCAATTAAAACCTGTTTAACTGCCAGCAGGCACCATAACTACATCGTGAGATGATGTGCTAATGGAGCCTATAGCTAAGGTTGCCATATCCACTGTGTTTTCATGGATCCACATAATTTCATCATGTTGATTGGCAGCACATGAAAATGTCCCCCTGTATTATGGATAAAGTATATGCTGCAGGATTCCTGACTGATTTATTACCAGGTTTATTACTTACAACATTTCTCACTCTCTTACCTTTATTTTACTGTAGATTTACATGGCCAAAATCTGGTGAAAATATGCAAATTCCAACTGCAAAGGAAATTCTCATATTTACTAAAGCCGATTCCGGTCAGAATTTGGTCAGGCTGAGTGAATTTGTAGAAATTGCCATGATGCATTCAGTGTCTGGATTCAAATCTCTTTTCGCATTCAAATCTGAAGTACTATACGCTTGCACTAGAGTTAAAGGGATACTCTAAGTACAAAAACAACTTTAAGTTTAATGACACAGTTTTAGTATATAGATCAAGCCCCTGCAGTCTCACTGCTCAATTCTTTGCCATTTAGAAGTAAAATCGTTTATGTTTCTGATCATGCAGCCCTAGCCACACCTCTCCTGGCTGTGACTGATGCTGAAAAAAAGGTTTCTTTTTTTTTTTATTCTTTTTTTTTTCATCTTGACAGAGACAGCAACATGTCCGCAGCGTTAGGTTTATTCATAAGCCAAGCATCATGCATCACATACGATCTATGTTACATATAGTAATCCAGTAGACAATGCATAATTTACACTGGGAGTTAACATTTTCACTGTCCGTCAAGGTTTTTTTTTTTTGTAGTTACCTTTTGAACATACAAATAGTATCAATGACGTGTGTATCAGCTTGTCATTATCATGTAACACATTGCCCTTAGAAGTCTTAGTGTTGACCTCCTTAGTGAGTATACCAATTTTCAAATAACTTAACAGTCATAAAGAGTTATCCTCTCCTGGAAGTCGTAAATACCTCTCCATTGATCATAGTTTCTATCCTAGGTGCGTAACTATACTTCCGCACATGCTAGGCTAATTCCGGTCTGGTGTCTACTCTCCAATAGACCCTTACACACTTCCTTCTGCTCTTCCAGAGAGTACCGATAACAACTATCCGCTGCATTCCCGACCTATATGTCATGCTCAACCTATCATGCCTCATGTAATCTAAAGTTTTTCACTGATGTCCTCCTCCCTCAATGTGTCTTGTCCACACTGTCAGTGCGCATGTCTGTCCCCTTTTAGAGAAGGGAAAAAAGTAAGGAAAAGGAACGAAAGAAAGAGAAGAAAGAGGAAAGGGAACGGGGGAAGGAAGAGGGGAGGGGCCTCATAGCGCTATACAGAACAAGGACAGGTGTCGCTCCCGTGTTACTGAGGGTTCCAAAGGGACTTGTCAGTCGCGTGTCCCCAGATAAGGATTGGCTGACCAGCTCCGCCCGTCACCCTCAGCAGTAGAGCGTGTATGCCCCACAGATCTCTTAACAATCTCTCTAGGCTGTTCTCCCATGGTTCCCATATTTTGTGGAAAGATGCAGAGGTCACTTTCACCCTGGCCATCAGATCGTCCATCAGTTTGCTCTCCTTGATCCTGGTGATTACTCCTGAGAAAATTGGACCCCCTGGAGTCAACCAAGAGTTGCAATCACTCTGCGAGCGCTTAAAGTAATTTTGTGTATAAGTTTCTGTTCTCTCTTGGTCCATCCCTCCAGAGGCCTATTTAAGAGGTATACCCGGGAGTTCTATCAAATACCCGATTAAACAAGTTCTCTACTGATTTCCAGAACCTGATTATAGTTGGGCATTCCCACCACATATGTAAATATGTCCCTCTTTCCCCACAGCGCCTCCAACACTCATCTGTAACGGTTTTACGCATTCTAAAAAGTTTTACTGGCGTTGTATACCAGCTGAACATGGTTGTAACGGACCGTTTTGCACACAAGGGGTAAAAACCGTTTAGGCGATTGGCCCCCTTTCCAGAGATGCAGGCACAGCTACTGCAGAACACCAAACTCCTGAACTGGATACAAAATAGCACTCCAACTCCCGAACTGGAACCTCCCAAATAGCTGCTAGCAGACGAACAGGAAAAGCAGACTAACAGCTTACACTCCTGGCAATCAGTCTCTAACAGCATACAGTGAATCCCCCCAAGAACGAGACAAGGCTCCGTGTTGAGGGTCAAGCAGTGGTCTGAGGTGCTGGCACACCCAGCCTGGTTTTTATTACAGTCTTTCAAATACAGGACCGCCCACAGGGAGGTATAAAACAACCAATCACATCACAGTTACATCCCACATATTCCCTCCCCTTATCCTGAGAGGAAACTCAATTACACATACAGTTAAAACATACTTTCTACCCAACTTTCATAACTCTAAAACCATACATCACATTCATATAAAATTACATATTCACAATCAATCCATTCAGGGGAACAACATATTAAAAAATGGCACGAATCAGACCAGGTGTTCAAAAGTTAAGGGAAAGTCCTTTGTGACTAAATGAAGCATGGCTTTCTGGCCCAAACCAGTTTCAGAGTCTTCTATCCTGAGAGTAATTCAATTATCTCCCAGGACAGACACAAGACTCCATTAAGCACATGGTTGCAAAAAGACACAAAACACTTTAAAATACATAAAGTCACATTTATTACATAAAACACAGACATGTAACATATCCCCAGATAGCTCAGGTCCGAGCGCACATTATTAAGCGAATGGCGCTCAGACCACACGAATACAGTTTAATCGCCATGGAGCCAAAGTCTTACAGTCAGTTTCATACGAATGGGCTCCATGGGATTCCTATCTGGGGTATAACACATTCAAACAAATCTACCGAACCCCAGGCAGAAAAGCACGAATGAAGCTTTTCTGCAGGTAAAAAAAGATGTCTTTTAAAAGGGGGCCATAGTCCAGGGGCAGCAGGCGGGCAACCAGGCTTCTCCAATGCAATGTGGCGAGATTGGTCTCGTCACAATGGTTTTCCAGGTTTGTTAGTGGAGGGTCACGCACAGGGATGTATTTTCGTTTGATTCCCAAATCTCCTGCCATTGTATGCCTTATAACACCTCGCCTAGGTCCCTTTCCCATTGATCAGTGTAATTTAATCATCCCATTCCGTGTTTTCAAAGCAGGTGTGGGCGTATATCTGTGTTATCAATCCTTTGGGCATGATTTCTGCTTCACATAAGCACTCAAAGAAAGTACGTGCCCTACAGGCCGCTGCCTTAATATGTGGTTGTTTAGCAAAATCGCTAAGCTGCATGTATCTAAAGAAATCTGAAGGTGTTAAGAAGCTATTCTGCTAAATGTCATCGAACGTAACCAACTCCTGGCCCTGACAGAAATGGCAAATCCTCTAGAAGCCCACTTTTTCTAGATTTTGGATGTCCCTTGTGGTTAAGCCCAGCGGGAATGCTCTGTTGCAAAGGAGTGGCATTAGGGGAGAACGTGAAGTTGCCAGGCCATACTTTATGTTGGTCGAGTCCCATATCTTCAGGGAGTTGAGGATTGCCGGGCAGGTCGCTCTATTCATAGGTCTGTGCTCCTTGGGGACCCACATCGTAAATTGAGGTATGTCTGCACCCACCATAAGAAACTCAGTTTCCACCCATTTCCTATCCTCTGGAGGAGAGTGCCACATTGCCACCTGAGTCAATTGTGCCGCTAAGTAATAAAAGAACAGGTTCGAGAGACCCAGTCCACGCCTAGTTTTTAGTCAGTACAGTACCTGTCTTGATATTCTGTGTCTTTTGTTTTGCTAGATAAAGGCCCCTATTGCGCATTGTAAGGGCACAAGGTGGGTTTTGGTAATGAGTGTGGGTAGTGCCTGAAACAGGAATAGGATGCGCTGTAGGATATTCATTTTGATGGAGTGAATCCGCCCTATCCATTATATGGGTTTGTGTCCATTTTTCTAGGTCGTTAATCAAAGTTTGTAGTAACGGTGTGTAATTAACAGTATGTAGTTTTCCTGGGTCTGCCGATAAATTAATCCCCAGATATTTCAGAGTGTTTTTTCTATTCGTATGTGGTAAGTGTCACACAGCCATGCCGTGTCCGCTGCCGTAACCCCCACAGGTAAACCGCCAGGATTTGGTGATATTTGCCTTATATCCCGACACGGCCCCGTATATGCCAATACCTTAAATTCTCTGCTTCCTACTCTAACTCCCTGTATATGTGGGTGTCTCCGAATCACCTGCAGGAAGGGTTCTAATGAGAGCACACTTTAATTATCACTACGTATTCCTCAGGGAAACCTAAATGAGTCAGCAATGTGAACAGGTACAGCCACCGGACCCTATCGAAGGTCTTTTCGGCATCGATCGAAAAAACTAGCGTAGGCGTACTCATGGCGACCTGTTTCCAGATTAAGTCGATATTCTTCCTGGTATTTTAAGGTGCCTCTGTACGACCTATCACCTCGTGTTTTTTAAACAAGTAAACTGTTGAAACCTTACATCAACCTGAGTACATTAAGCTGTCAGCAAGAGTGACTAAACTTAAAACGTCACATATAACATAATTGTAACTTAAGCCCAAACCACTTTTTCCTGGGACCTCCTTTTTTTGCCCATTCACTAACCCCTGGGGCCTTTGGGGAACCGAATGCAGGGGTGGGATGGGCCCTCTATACAATCCCCTACCCGGCAGGGCACCAAAGATGACGTGAACAGGGCCACTAACTAATGCCCGCAGGATTCCAGCAGGCCCCTGATGGGATCCGGGAGGTGGCTATGTGCGCTTCCTGGGCGATGACGTTAACCAGCCTGGGGGGCGAACTCCAAGGGCCCATTACCCTGCTCTTTGAATGCGCTTGGCAGCTCATGACCCTAACATGCCATGACAGGAAGAGTAGTGAAGGTAAGTAGTTAGGGGCCCGCGTTCCTCCCATATGTCTAGTGGATGTGGGTGGGACCTCCCCTACCCCAAGGCCCCCCATCAGCTAGTGTTAGGCCTCCCTCCAACTACCAATTATTGTAGTTTGCCTGGGGAACTCACTCCCTAGCCCTCCCGTTCCCTAATACTTCCTAGCAAGGAACCACAGTTGGTTGTACGTTTTATTGTGTTTTCTTTCTTTTTTGTTTTTTTTATTGTTTTTTTTTATTCGTTATTTTTTTGGAAGACTGTAGTATTACTGTGTGGTCCCCACCTGTGAGGGCACAATATGTACTCTAATCCCCAGTTCATCACCCCTCTCCCTAAAGCACAAACACACGCCGCATGTATATGTGTGTGTGTGTATATATATATATATATATATATATATATATATATACATAAACACATACATACACTGCTCTGTGTGCTGTGTGAGGGTGCTGTGTGTGCTGTTAGTGTGATGTGTGTGTGAGGGTGCTGTTAGTGTGATGTGTGGGTGAGGGTGTTTGTGTGTGTGTGTTTGTGACGGTGCTGTTTGTATGTGAGGGTGTTTGTGTGTGCGTGTTTGTCCTGTGAGGGTGCTGTGTGTGTGAGGGTGCTGTTTGTGTGTGTGTGTTTGTGAGGGTGCTGTTAGTGTGCTGTGTGTGAGGGTGTTGTGTTTTTTTTAAAGGTGCTGTGTGTGTTTGTGAGGGTGCGGTTAGTGTACTGAGTGTGTGTAAGCGTGCTGTGTGTGAGCTGTATGTGTGTAGGTGCTGTGGGTGCTGTATGTGTGTGTGTGCTGTATGTTTGGAGGGATTGTGGAGGTGGGGGCAGATTAGTAAATATCCCCCCTCCCTTCTGACCTTATGTAGGGAGGGGGGATCCTTGCTGCCATGTGCCATCCCTGGTGGTCCAGTGGAGAGTGAACTCTAGCCTGCGGGGCTAGAGTTAATGGCAACGCTCAGATATCGCGAGAGGAACCTGGCGGAGCTGCTGTCTAGAGCTTCCTGGGTCCTCTCCTGCCTCCCTCCGGTCTCCCCGCCGGCCCATTGAGGCTTAGAGCAGAGCCGGCACTCAGATAGCGCCGGCTCTGCGTGAGCCGACAGGGGAGATCGGCAGGGTACAAGTCCTGTGGAATAATGTGTGGGAACTCTCCCAAGATTCCCACCCCCCCCAATAAAAAATATACACTCGTGTGTGTGTGTGTGTTTGTGTGTGTCTATATATATATATATATATACATACATATGCGTACACACACTCACAGACACATTCACAGACACACACACACACATAGACTCACAGACACACACTCATACATTCACAGACACACATACACTCACAGACACACACATACATTCACAGACACACATACACTGACACACAGACACACACACATTCACAGACACACACACATTCATAGACACACATACACACATACACTCACAGACACACACATACATTCACAGACACACATACACTGACACACAGACACACACACATTCACAGACACATGCACATACATTCACAGACACACACACACACATTCACAGACACATACACACATACAGAGACACACACACACACACACATTCACAGAAACACACACACACATTCACAGACACACACACACTCACAGACACACATACAAATTATTATTTTTTTAATACCTGGAGTGCTGGCATGGACTTATCCCTGGGGTCCAGTGGGGCCCAGCTTTCATTTTCAATCAGATGTGGCAGCACAGTGTGTTTACTTTAGTAAGTTCTTATCTCCTTAATTGTACGTTAATCATACAAAGGTGGCTACCACAAGCTCTAGCAGGCCATGAACAGAGTAGGAGGTACACACCAAAACCACTCCAATAAACTAAAGTTATTTTGGTGTTTTTAATGTCCCTTCAAAAACCAGTGAAATGGTAAATTGTGTGGCCGGTGGCCAGTGCTCGCTAACATCAAAAAAAGTTAAAACAAATAAACTAATACAAACCTTATGGGGGTCAACTATATCCTTATATTACTATGTATTACTATGTATGTGTTGGTGGGACCTCCACCACCCCAAGGCCCCCATGGTGTACCATATGTTGGATACCATCAGCTAGTGTTAGGCCTCCCTCCAACTACCAATTATTGTAGTTTGCCTGGGGACCCTACTCCCTAGCCCTCTCGTTCCCTAATACTTCCTAGCATGGAACCACAGTTGGTTCTACGTGTTATTGTGTTTTCTTTCTTTTTTTGTTTTTTTTGTTTTTTTTTATTGTTTTTTTTATTTGTTATTTTTTGGAAGACTGTAGTATTACTGTGTGGTCCCCACCTGTGATGGCGCAATATGTACTCTAATCCCCCGCTCATCACCCCTCTCCCCCCTACCTGGTATACGGTCCCTTACACATTACCTACAAAATATCTCACACTTGGTCCTTAAGGGGTTAAATAGTGTGAGCAATGTCTGACTATTGCAGTCGGCATAAACCCTGTGTGCAGCTGGATGGTTTTGTCTCATTTTAGTAAATAACACTCTTGCCATATAACCCCTATATGGTTCACCCTATCTCTGAGAATCTTGTACTTTCATAAATGCTCAGTAGCTCTATGGCAGAGTAGTAAAGATTTACTTATTTTGCTGTGCATGCCAACAGAGTCAGAGTGGGCCTTAATGGGAATCTACAATGGGCTCATGTTGTCCAGTTCTTTGTAATATTGAACTGCTATTTGATAGATGTTTGTTAACCAATATGGCAGATTCTAAAAATTAAAGTACATTGCTTGTTAGTCATGTTTTCTCTAAACAGCTATTCCTGTAAAAGGGCAGAGTATTACAATAACATCACTAAACATACACCATCTAATGACAAGGTATCAATTTATTTCAATGCTTAAAGGACCACTATAGTGCCAGGAAAACATACTCGTTTTCCTGGCACTATAGTGCCCTGAGGGTGCCCCCACCCTCAGGGTCCCCCTCCAGCCGGGCTCTGGGGGGAGGAAGGGGTTAAACTTACCTCTTTCTCAAGCGCCGGGTGGGGAGCTCTCCTCCTCCTCTACGGCTCCTCTCCTCCTCTTCGGCTGAAAGTGCGTGCATGGCAGGAGCCGCGCGTGCATTCAGCCAGTCCATAGGAAAGCATTCTCAATGCTTTCCTATGGACGCTGGCGTCTTCTCACTGTGATTTTCAAAGCGTGAAATGAGACAGCCAGTAGAGGCTGGATTAACCCATTTATAAACATAGCTGTTTCTCTGAAACTGCTATGTTTATAGAAAAAAGGGTTAACCCTAGCTGGACCAGGCACCCAGACCACCTCATTAAGCTGAAGTTGTCTGGGTGCCTATATTGGTCCTTTAATGAAGCAACACTGTAACCATGCAAAGGAAAGGATCATTATTGTGTCACATAACTTTTTTTTTTTTTACTGTCACCACATATTTGGTAGCAAGGGCCTCTGTTCCTGTATATTAAAGGAACACTATAGTCACCTAAACAACTTTAGCTTAATGAAGCAGTTTTAGTGTATAGATCATGCCTCTCAGGTTTCACTGCTCAATTCACTGCCGTTTAGGAGTTAAATCACTTTGTTTATGTTTGTGCAGCCCTTGTCACACCTCCCCTGGCTCTGATTGACACAACCTGCATGAAAAAAAACTGTTTTCACTTTCAATCAGATGTAATTTACCTTAAATAATTTTCTCTCTTGCTCTGTAAATTGAACTTTAATCACATACAGGAGACTCTTGCAGGGTCTAGCAAGCTATTAATATAGCAGGGAATAAGAAAATCAAAATTAAATAGAACTTGCAATAAAGGAAGGATAAACATTATGTGACTCTTTACAGGAAGTGTTTAGGAAGGCTGTGCAAGTCACATGCAGTTAGGTGTGACTAGGGTTCATAAACAAAGTGATTTAACTCCTAAATGGCAGACAATTGAGATTGAAGGGGCATGCTCTATACACCAAAACTGTTTCATTAAGCGTTGTTTTGGTAATTCCAGTGTCAATTTAAATTTCCCTGTTTTGGGAAGACTCTTAAGTAACACAAAATGCAAAAGCAAAACAAATTTTAAAAAATAACTCAAGGCATTCTGCTATTTTGGCATGTATATCACATCCCCATGTTCTGAACATTCTTACAACATTATTAGTTTTTAGTGGTGTTATACAGATGGTCTAAACCAATGAACTGTGTGTGTTACCAAATATATATAAATTTTAAAACTTAACTTAAATTTAAAACCCTATCCCTTTGTTTACATGTTTAGTAAATATAGTTTCTAACTACATGCAATTCACATCCATTTTCTCACGTCATTAATGGCACACATTTCATAAAAGCATCATATCTCAAAACCTTTTCTTCCCAAATTTAGCTGAAGAGAAAGGTTCATAAATGAACAGCACAGCTATATTAATTTAGGCAAAACCAGCAAAACACTCAATAGAGATAAAAACATCTCACATCATTAGACAAATGTTGACTAACATATATTTTAATATTATTTTGCGGGGAAGTCCAGCCCAAAAATAACCAACCCAATGGAATAGTTGGATCACGCAGGTCAATGGAAAGTATCTCCTCTTCCTTTTGACCATGTCAATATATAGCAATCTGAGGGCCATATTCATTGACTAATGTCTATAGCCAGTGGTAGCATGCAGAGTCCCTATATTAAGATGTTTGAGTCAGTTAAGCAAGTTTCAGAATGATTCGATGGGTTTGATGGTGGAATATGGAGGTGGACAATCGATCACTGGCATTTTTAATGCATCTTCATAAGATGGCAGTGCATCCTGCAACATAAAAATGTATTTAATTGTATAGAAACAATTGTACTCTTTATATAGAAAAGACAGAGAAGGCAAGAAAGTGGAAGGGGTGGCCCTGTATGTGAAGGATAGCATAGAATCTAGCCTAATAAAAGTTAGTGAGGTGAACATAGAGTCCGTTTGGGTTACGTTGGAATTTGGTAATCACACAGTAACTCGTGTAGGTGTGATTTATAGACCCCCAGGACAAATAGAAGAGTGAGATAATCTACTAGTTGAGTAAATAGCTAAAATGACAATGAAGGGGGAAGTTATCATCATGGGTGACTTTAATCTTCCTGATGTGAATTGGAAAACCAAAATAGCTGCTTGTGCCAAGAGCACACATATTCTAAACTTCCTAATGGGATTGTCTCTAAAACAAGTCATTGAGGAGCCAACTCGTAAAGAGGCCATACTAGATTTAGTGTTAACAAATAGAGATTTGGGATCAGATATTACTGTAGGTGAAAGATTAGGATCATCAGTCAGTGTGGTTTAATGTAAGAACAGTGACTGAGTCACACCACACAAAAACAATAGTTTTAGACTTTAGAAAAACATACTTTTCTAAAATTAGAATATGTGTAAAGGAGTCATTTAAATGAAGTCCAATAGAAATGGGATTATTTAAAAGTTGCACTGCTGAAAGCAACAGAAAATTGCACTAGGCTTCTCAGTAAAAGCAAAAAATTCAAGAAACCACTGTGGCCAAAATAGTAAAAATCAAAAAGTTAGTTTTTGGTAACAATAAAAAAACCAGAGTGAGGAAGACCGAATGATCTATAAGATTAGGCAGAAAGAGGCTAAGCAAGTTATAAGAGCTTCCAAATCACACACAGGAGAGAAAATAGCACAGTCAGTAAAAAAAAGAGGACAAAACATTTTTTAGATACATAAATGAGTAAAGGAAAGTAAAACAAGGATTAGTTAGATTAAAAACAAAAGAAGGAAGGTATGTCGAAGAGGATAAAGGTCTAGCTGACTGCCTCAATTAATATTTTTGTTCAGTATTTACAGATGAAAATGAAGGAAAGGGGCCTCGGTTAGGAAAAAGGACAAGTGAGTCATTTGTTACATGTGAGTTTATTTCAACTGTCAAAAGAAAAGACAAATAAGTCAATGGGACCTGATGGAATACACCCAAAGTTATTAGAATAGCTTAGTGGGGTACTAGCAATACCATTAACAAATTTATTTAACCAATCATTGTTAACAGGAGTAGTCCCATAAGATTGGAAGTTAGCGAATGTTGTGCCCATTCACAAGAAAGGTAGTAGGGAGGAGTCGGGCAACTATAGGCTAGTAAGCCTTACTTCAGTAGTGGGGAAAGTAATGGAAACTATGTTAAAGGATAGGATTGTTGAACATCTAAAATCACATGGATTTCAAGATCAGAGACAGCATGGGTTTACTTCAGGGAGATCATGCCAAACTAATCTTATTGATTTTCTTGATTGGGTAACTAAAATAATAGATCAGGGTGGTGCACTGTTGCACATAGAAGGCTTGTCAATAAACTGCAATCTTTAAGTTTGGATTCCAATAATGTTGAATGGGTAAGGTAGTGGCTGAGTGACACACAACAGAGGGTTGTAGTCAATGGAGTATATTTGAAGCATGGGCTTGTCACCAGTGGTTACCTCTGAGATCTGTACTTGGACCCATTGGACCCATATTTTTATTAGTTATATTGCAGAAGTTCTTGATGGTAAGGTATGTCTTTGTGCCGATGATACTAAGATATGTAACAGGGTTGACGTTCCAGGAGGGATAAGCCAAGTGGCAAATGATTTAGGTAAACTAGAAAAATGGTCAGAGCTATGGCAGCTGACATTTAATGTGGATAAGTGCAATATAATGAATCTTAGATGTAAAAACCCAAGGGCAAAGTACAGAATATTTGATAGAGTCCTAACCTCAACATCTGAGAAAGGAATTTAGGGGTGATTATTTACGATGACTTAAAGGTAGGCAGACAATGTAATAGAGCAGCAGGAAATGCCAGCAGAATGCTTGGTTTTATAGGGAGAGGTCTTAGCAGTTGAAAGAGGGAAGCGCTCATGTCATTGTACAGAACACTGGTGAGACCTCACTTGGAGTATTGTACACAGTACTGGAGACCGTATCTCCAGAAGGATATTGATACTTTAGAGAGAGTTCAGAGAAGGGCAACTAAACTGGTTCATGGATTGCAGGATAAAACTTACAAGGAAAGGTTAAAGGAACTTAACATGTATAGCTTGGAGGAAAGACGAGACAAGGGGAATATGATAGAAACAAATAAATACATAAAGAGAATCAACACAGTAAAGGAGGATACTATATTTAAAAGAATAAAAACTACTATAATTAGAGGGGCAAAGGTTTAAAAATAATATCAGGGAGTATTACTTTACTGAGAGGGCAGTGGATGCATGGAATAGCCTTCCAGCTGAAATGGTAGAGGTTAACACAGTAAAGGAGTTTAAGCATGCGTGTGATAGGCATAAGGCTATCCTAACCATAAGATCATTTTAATTAAAGTATTTAGAGAATTGGGCAGACTAGATGGGCTGAATGGTTCTTATCTGCCGTCACATTCTATGTTTCTATGTTTTTTTCTCCAAATATTAATGCATATAAATATATGCACACAAAATCACATGCAAATATGTTTACAAATTTTAATTATTTGGAACATCAATATAGTGTATGTCAAGATATAGTATAGCATTGAATCTGTTAAAGACGGCCTGTAGATGAGGGTTTATGAATGTACCTATAACGTTAGATGGAGATGGGTGTATCGGAAAATGTTATATAGAGATACATGATAATCTGGTGAGTTTAAAAAAGATGGGGTGTGTTAGACATTGAGTTTATGTGGAAAAATAGAAGTTATACAGAGAGGCTATAAAGAAAGGAGGAAACATTTGAAAGCACTTTGTGGGATAGGAGAAGTTACAGGGTGAAGCCATGTGGAATGATACAAGAACTATCATAGGCACTTCACTAACAGTAGGAATTGTAGGAACCTATAGTCACTGATATGACAAGATAAGAAATGATATAGGTAGAAGTCCCAGGGGCTCTTAAACTGATTAGATCTGAAAAACTTAAAGGAACAATTTACTGCCCAAATAAATAAAAATCACTGTTTAGTAGATATACCTCCACTGAAAACATGAATGAATTTAAATGTGCATTTTTTGATTGGGTTATATCTAAAAACAGCTTGCAAAAGCTGAAGATCTCTTGACTGAAACCTTTGCAAGCCTCTTCTAACCCTGCCCTGACTTCCTGTGGTTGTCCAATCACAGACTTCTCACTGGAGCTTAATGAGAAGTCTTTGCAAGGTAGGTGCTCTGGGCAATTGCTGCCTCTTATTTTAGCTCCACAAGCTAAACAAACCAGGAAGTAACAAGTGCAGTTGTCTGATTGACATTAAGGAGGTGTAATAAGGTCATATTATAAAAGTGCTAATTTCTATTGAAATCATTCACACTCATCACACATAAAGTAGTTCAGTAAGCTAAAGTGCTTTAGGGGTCTTAGGTGTCCTTTTAACAAGCAGGAATTACATAGGGAAAAGAGATGGCATTCAACTTTATAAAGACTCATTAAACAGATACAATATTGAAATTATTTCAGTAATTGTAGCATTTGTAATATCTTACATTATAGGTTATTAGAATGAACCACACACCACACGCACAACTAATCAACTCTTAAATGTGTTAACTTGTTAAAATTTGGCCCTTTACAGTTAACTCCTTAAGTGTCAATCAACTATTTTAAATATAGTTATTGCAGTAAAAAGTATGTCTTCTTGTTAGCTATTGATAGAACTAAGACATAAGATAAAATAATCTCACCTTGTCTGTAATTTTAGGTTGAGGGGTCTCCACAGATGTGAACTGCTTCCTAATACGTAAAATCGTGAACACTTTCCATACACTATAAATCATAGACACCTGTAGACAGAGAGAAGTTTGTTAATAAAAAAACCTCTACATGTTCATCTTCTTGATGACAAATATGTTTTTTTGTAGTTCTGCAACTCAGCTCAATTTCCTGTAAGGGAAGACATTTTTCTTCGAATCAAATCATATTAAAAATATAAAACATGTATCCACTCATAGGGTTTTCACTGATGTGAGAATTTAAAATGCAAGGTCAAAATACCAAAACTGGAAAAAATATCTTTAATTAAACTATACTTTTAGTTCTGCGACTTTGTCATTAAATTTGAAATTCAAATTGAAATAAAATTGAAATTTCAATTCACACTGAATTCTAAGTTTAGTAAAGAACCCTGCATGTCTGCGTCAGCTCAGGTTCCCATTTACAAAAGAGGCCAGCAGAAAATGGTATGCCTATCACTCTTGAATAACAAGGTAAAATATATATGTATTTCTTCATTTAGATATCATGTTACATCCCTAGCATTCATTCTGTGAAAACATTGTATTAAGGCAATCTCCAACCGAAATCACTAAGGACAATTTCCTAGCCATTGCAAATTTATATTAATCATGATATGTCAAGAATAATATATTTCCCAATGTATTTACCCAGCTAAATACAAGAACTATCACAGTTATAAGTGATATGTAGTTAGAATCAAATTCTGAAAACATTACAAAGAGACATAAGATGATATAAAGCCTTCTGATTCCTAGGCAGGATGGCAGAAAAATGGCAACTATGCGATATAGATCGGAGGGCTACATTCACTGTCTAACACTGCGACAAACAAGACGATCGTGCTGTTTTCCCTAAAAACAAGCCTTCTTCTAATAAAATGCAGGTAGTTTGTTTGCACCAATAAATTATTCTCAGTCTGAAACAGAAACTCCTGTTGGGGAACACACTGTAACACTGGGATACAGTAAAGCTTGGAGTAAATATTTAGTGATATCTGCTAATACTTTGGAAAATAAAATAGTTTTTGAGGTTATCTTCAGTCTCTGCCATGTACAGAGCTTGTACTTGTTAACACATCATGTATAAACTATAATATAAATTTTAAAAAACAGACTTATAAATGTTCTCTATATCAATTATGAAAGAAAATCTCTGTATGAGTGAAACTTGTTGAACATGTTTGTCGCCACTGGTATACTGGTATGGTTCCTAAAATCGAAAGGGCATCTTTCAACCCACTATTCCCCCTCCTGATGACTAAGTGAGAGAGAAGAATTAGATAAGTGCCTCCTATCTCCCTTCTTCCACTACCCTGCCACTCTGCACTACCAGTAACAATGAATGTGTTGAGATATGTGTTGCAGGAGGCACTAGCCTCCCAAATTGTTGCTTAGCTATTTTTTTTTCTGCAGGATATTTTGGTATATTCTGGGGGGAGCAGTGCAAAAAGGGCACTTGACCAGAGAAGGATCTGACAGAGCCATGGCCTCCTGCTCCATTCTTCATAGGCATGGTCAATGAGATTAAGCAAACTCATGGTTGAAAGGTTCCTGCCTAAGGTCATTTTGTGGTTAATCCTCCTCTGCACTTGCATAGGTCATTACAACACTTGTGACAACAAAGCTTTTATATTTACTAAGTATTTGGATTTTGCTCTATCTTAGAGCATAGTGGTATTATGTTTTTTTATCCCAACCCCATAATACTGTAGTGTAATAAAATATTATTCTATATATAAAATATTATAAGTTAAAATTATTTTTTTTTTCAAATGGAAAGTAGGAAGCCAGCCACTATTTGCATCTTACAAAGCTGATTAAAAACAAATATGTGGTAATTTACTAATTTAACACACAAAAAAAGTAGTATTAACACATCATGATTTTACAATCGTTTAAGGTTGACAATCTTCGAAATATATCAACAGACTTGTTCTTTACCCGTTAGTTAACTTGAATACTAGCACAGACAGACAGAATAAAAAATGTAATGCTTGTCCCCTGCAATACATCTTACCAGTTGGCTTTTATAACTAGTTGGCTTTTATAGTAACACATGACTTTTCTCATTTCTAACTACAGTTTGAACATGCTATTTCCCACATGAAGAAGGAAATGTATTACAAATACCCAGACACCATCAAAAATACATCCAATACCCGTCCCTAACTCAATAACAGACTCATTAAGTAATTTTCAATCCTCTAATCCTAATAACTACCATGCCAATGTGTGCCTTATTCTTATCCACAAAATAAGTTCTTTAAGGAAACACTATAAACTTTAACCTAAAATAATTTTTTTAAAATAAATTCTAGAATATATATATTCACTGAACAAAATTACAAACGCAACACTTTTGTTTTTCCACCCATTTTTACATGAGCTGAACTCAAAGATCTAAGACTTCTTCTATGTACACAAAAGGCCTATTACTCTCTAATATTGGTCACAAATATATCTAAATCTGTGTTAGTGAGCACTTCTCCTTTGCTGAGTTAATCCATCCACCTCACAGGCGTGGCATATCAAGATGCTGATTAGACAGTATGATTATTGCACAGGTGTGCCTTGGGCTGGCCACAATAAAAGGCCACTCTAAAATGTGCAGTTTTACTGTATTGGCAGGGTCCGGGGGGACCGAAAACCTGTCAGTATCTGGTGTGACTACCATTTGCCTCATGCAGTGCAACTCGTCTCCTTCGCATTCAGTTGATCAGGTTGTTGATTGTGGCCTGTGGAATGTTGGTCCACTCCTTCGATGGCTGTGCAAAGTTGCTGGATATTGGCAGGACCTGGAACACGCTGTCGTATACACCGATCCAGACCATCCCAAACATGCTCAGTGGGTAACATGTCCGTTGAGTATGCTGGCCATGCAAGACCTGGGATGTTCTCAGCTACCAGGAATTGTGTACAGATCCTTACAACATGGGGCCGTGCATTATCATGTTGCAACATGAGGTGATGGTCGTGCATGAATGGCACAACAATGGGCCTCAGGATCTCGTCATGGTATCTCTGTACATTCAAAATGCCATCAATAAAATGCACCAGTGTTAGTTGTCCATAACATACCTCTGCCCATACAATAACCTCACCGCCACCATAGGCCACTCGATCCAAAATGTTGACATCAGCAAACCACTCACCCACACGACGCCATACACGCTGTCTGACATCTATCCTGTACAGTAAAAACCGGGATTCTTCCATGAAGAGAACACCTTTTCAAAGTGCCAGACGCCATCGAATGTGAGCATTTGCCCACTCAAGTCGATTGCAACAACTAACTGCAGTCAGGTTGAGACCGCGATGAGGATGACAAGCATGCAGATGAGCTTCCCTGAGATGGTTTCTGACAGTTTGTGCAGAAATTCTTTGGCTATGCAAACCGATTGTTGCAGCAGCTGTCCGGGTGGCTGGTCTCAGATGATCTTGGAGGTAAAGATGCTGGATGTGGAGGTCCTGGGCTGGTGTGGTTACACATGGTCTGCGGTTGTGAGGCTGGTTGGATGTAGTGCTAAATTCTCTGAAACGTCTTTGGAGATGTCTTATGGAAGAGAAATTAACACTTAATTCATGGGCAACAGCTCTGGTGGACATTCCTGCAGTCAGCATGCTGATTGCACGCTCCCTCAAAACTTGCAACATCTGTGGCATTGTGCAGTGTGATAAAAATGCACATTTTAGAGTGGCCTTTTATTATAGCCAGCTTAAGGCACACCTGTGCAATAATCATGCTGTATAATCAGCATCTTGAGGTGGATGGAATATCTCGGCAAAGGAGATGTGCTCACTAACACAAATTTAGACAGTATTTGTGAACAATAATTGAGAGAAATAGTCCTTTTGTGTACATAATATGTCTCAGATGTCTGAGTTCAGCTCATGAAAAATGGGGGCAAAAACAATACATATATATATAAAAATACAGAATCCAGCGCACTCGCTTATTCACTAAACAATGATTTCAAATCTTAGATACTGTAATAGTTTTATTTAAAAACACCTCACCTAGGCAAAAAATAATGTGGGTTTAGTTACATTATATGCATACATACAGTACGCAAGGAGAGAACCTTCTCTCACAAGTATCCCAAATTGTGGATTATACCACTCCACGCTACAATTTAGGAGCCAATATATAGGCTCCAGAATATGTGAGTGTAATCTTATTTCATTAAAATTTATCTATACTATTCAGACAGACTACACTATATTAATCCATCTGTGTGTTATCTTTCATACATCCTGGATTATCCATTGAAACCGAGGGATATAACAAGAATACATAAACGGAATTGTACGCACATAGAAGTGGAGCTCTTTGTAAGTACATTTTTTTTTCTGTTCACTCTCCCACTTTGTGAAGAATACTACACTTTATATTTCTTGTTTTATTTGTGTTACATATACAGCTGGAATAATGTGAGGCGCTACCCGCTCATCCTTGTACAAACTTTCTTTAAGCAATGCTTTCAGAGACAAGTATTAGTTATTCATTTTACAGTTTTTTTTCCCTATATCATTGATATTAGGGTACTGTGTCATAGTGGTCGGCTTAACACAATATGAATGGAACTGGTCCCTATATTTGTTTGCTAAGATAGGTGATTTTAAGTAGCCTTATAAAATTTAAAATGTTATTTTTAGATGTTTGTGGTTCCTATTAGCACTATTCCTGTAAAATGCATGTTCCGGGTTTGCCCCCAAATTTTTGTCTCTACAATTCTTAAAAAAGGCACAGAAGAAATTAGTCAGTGTGGGAGCACAAATAGTAGCTCCGACTGACAGAAAGGTTATTGAGCAATGTGACGGCTTCCCCATGTTCAGCAGAATAACAGGCCCTACTAGTTCAAAAAAAATCTTGATGTGTTTATTCCATTGATGGGCTTTTTGGCCTGGGTGACAATGATTAAATAATTCTGTCATTTGAAAGAGAAGGGATTAAACAATTTTACCCTGCAAGACCTGAGCTAAAGAACTCTCTTAATGATTTAGACATTGAAAGGGATAGTTACAAGAGCAGAGATTTAAAATTGCTTCTTACCTTAAACATAAGCACAGAGATATGTAGGAGAGTGAATGTTATCAGGTCCACAACATAGTTCTGAGAAGCCAAATTGTCCTCCATAAAATAATTCTGAGAAGGAACAAAGGATATTTTATTACGATTTATACAATCTTCTTTAAATTTTATATTTGTTGAAAGCTTTCAATAAAATGTAATCAAAGTTCGTTTGGCCTACTCCTGTCCTTACTGTGCCCATTTCCTAATTCTTTTATATTATATCAAAAAAGGAGATTGAGAAAAATACAATTTTTTTAAATCTTGTTTGTAGTATGTGTCAACTTGATAATACCTTTATGCCAATCTCCAGAAATATTTTGAAAGATTTTTAAGGGTATTATTATCATACATTTTTTTTCTATTTAAATCAATTTTATATTTTTTTTTTAACTCAAATTAAAGATTTCTTCCCTTTCTGTCATTTTCTGTCACTTTTTGTCCAACAAATCAATGAACATTTGTTGTATGATTACATATAGCTGCACATGTACACTACATTTGCTATTCTATACAAACTATATTTACATTAGAAGAATTTTGATTAGGCAGTTTGGAATAAGCAATCCCAATTTTGTCCTTTAAAGTTAAAGGGTTACTCCAACCCAAAAAAATGTCATTTAAATGAGAAAACTTTTTTTGGCTGGTGTATTGGCATGGTCTCCCCTCAAAAGAAAAAAGACAATGGAGGAGAAAATGGCAGGCAGCATGTGGCGGTGGCAAGGGAGGCTGATCTTGCAGTTCCTAACTCCTCCCTTGTGTGCCCTGTAATGTCGGGAGCTGGAAAATGATTTCATTCTGGCCCCGGCATACTAAACAGTGTGTGGTAGGAGTGAGGAACTGCAAGATTACAACCTCACACTGGACCCCACAGAGAGGCACGGCACCTGGATTGGCTTCAGACAATAAAATTAGTTTGTGAGAGTGTGCAAGAATGTGTGCATCTGTCAGTGTGTGTGTGTGTGTGTTTGTTAGGGTTAGGGTGCGTGTCTGTCAGTGAGTGTGTGTTTGCATCAGTCAATGAGTATGTCTGTTAGTGAGCATGTGCGTGTGTCTGTCAATCAGTGTGTGTCTGTCAGCAAGTGTGTCTGTCAGTGAGTGTGTGAGTGTGTGAGTGTGTCTGTCAGTAAATGTGTTTCTGTCTGTCATTGAGTGTATGAGTGTGTCTGTCAGTGAATGTGTGTGTGTCTGTCAGTAAGTGTGTGAGTGTGTCTGGCAGCGAATGTGTGTGTGTGTGTCTGTCAGTGAGTGTGTGTGTGTGTCTGTCAGTTAAAGTACTTTTTTCTGTCAGCAATCCTCAAGTTTTACAGCTGATGTATATATATATATGCACAGCAATCCCACCAAAAACGACCACTACCTTTCTCAATTACTGTAGGCATTGAGATGAGTGTGTCTGTCAATGAGTGTGTCTGTTACTGTGTGTCTGTCAGTGATTGTGTGTGTGTGTCTGTCAGTGGGTGTGTGTCTGTCAGTGAGTGTTTCAAACCAGTTAGATTGTGTGTATGTCATTGAGATTGTGTCTGCCAGTGTGCGTCTGTCAGTGTTTCTCTCTTAGACATTTACAAAGTGGACGAGTTTGAAAAAATTACCACACAAACATGTGGACATCAAAAGAATTTCTGCACCCAAGCGTGTGTGACCCTAGGATCGGCACTGCTGGATTGGCTAAAGATGCTGCTGGAGTTCCTGATGATGGAGTTACAATTTTGGCAGAAAGATGCTTTAACTCTGTAGGTTTTAGAGCATATGTACTTGCCGGAACCCACAACCTCTCCCTTTTTTCTGGTGCTAGGAAGGGCACTCCGAATCACCAATGAAAACGAGCATGTTCTGCTACTGCGAATTGGTTCCCCTAAACTCTGGTGCTTGGCTGCTTGCAAATTGGAAGTTCAACTTCTTTTCTATACATTCCACTTTTTTTCTGATACCAAGACTTGCAGGCCAGATGTAGAACCAAGCCAAACACTGTTGGGCTCACACAAGTCAGTTCAGCTGAGATTCTAGCTTGTGGCATCTTCCGATCACCTGATTGGTCCAATTTTAGCCGAATTAAAGTTTGGTGCTAAACACATCTGCAAGTTTAATGTCCCCTACTGTTTGCAGTCTGCATTTGACCATATTTCTTACTCCAGTTTAAATTCTAGCTGACACAATTGGTACTTGTGATAAAGAAGTATCACATTTTATACACGAAGCATAGGATTGGAAATCATGGTCACTCATGAAGACTAGGACCCAGATTGAATCTAATTTTCTCCTAAGAAAAGTTATTTAAAGATACTTAATATAAAGAGTAACATTTGTATAAGGACATGAATTAAGGTAGTTAAAGATTAAATATTTCTGATCTCAACATACCATGTAATTCATTGACCGTAGATTTAGGTAGGCTGGGACTTCAGCATAGGAGCTGCATAGAGTCAGTAAACTCAGGAACATGTTGATAGCTGTAGTTGATGCAGTGGTGAGCTCTAGGGCAGCCTGAAAGAAAGAAACATTAATAAAATACCAAATTTAAAGAAACAATAACTCTTCAAAGAGAAATAAAAATGTTACTAACCACATTGCCTTGTGCCCGGGTCCTTATGTAAGTTGGAAGCTCAATGTAGATGCTGCAGAGTACCAAGGAACTAAGAATTAAATCCATAAACTGTAAGGCGAAGAATGGTATAACCAGAGATGCTCGACTCTGTGGAGATGGGGAGAAACATAAATTGGTATTAGAAAATGTGCAGAAATTATAAAACCGTGTTAAAGCTGATAATGGTTTTATGATACCACCATCACCATCTTCTTTTCAAATGATAACACCATTGATGTGAAGAATATGTCCTCAACTAATTGCTATACATTTACAGTGTAAAAAAAAGTATATATCTTTTCATGTCCACAGAATTATGTTTGTGCCGCTGTTCGGCTCGGTTGAATTCTGAAAAAAAAAAAACTGCAAATGGCTATGGTATTGCCAGGCCTAATGGCTACACAGTATCAGCCATTTTTGCAATGCCAATTCTGAGTTGACAAAATTAGATTATCATTTATCTGAACTTAAACACGGTAAGAATAAAGAGAATGGTTGATTGTAATTTTATTTTTTTTTGCTACGTTTTTTGCTTTGTTTTTAGCACATTCACACATTTTTTCACTGTTTTTTTTTATCTTTTAATTGCATTAAAAACAATTGACAATTTTCAGCCTTCTCTTGCATATCCCTCCAGATTGCGGTCTGCTGTGGGGTAAATTTTGTATATACCCTTGAGGATTACAACTGTCCCTGTCTCCCCTGCTCTGTCTAAGGGTGGCAATAGAGGAGGAGGTACTGGCGCTTCTGTTGCTCCCAACCTTTTTTTTTTTTATGTTTGTAATTGTAGAGATTTCAATGTTGCTGATTGGTGGATTTCTATTGTCATGTTATTGTGCTAGCCCACAATGAACTTAGTAGTTTGCTTGCTTGTTTACAAACATAATGGTGAAGTGGTGCTTGTCCCTATAGGATATACTTCACACTGAATATTTTGCTGACATGAAAGTCAATACATGTATGTCTTGAAATCTCACAGTTTACTAAAAGCATTTTCTTTTTAAAGACATGAAAGTCAATACATGTATGTCTTGAAATCTCACAGTTTACTAAAAGCATTTTCTTTTTAATATAGTATAAAATAAAAACATAATTTAATGGTAGCAAATTGTATTGTAAATCAACTGCCCACATACCGCCAGATCTCCACAAAACAGCAAAACACTGATCGCAAATAAGACTATTAGTAGGAGGTAACTGGAGGCAGCATCCGCTGAGAAAATAAATCACAAGGAAAAATTTTTTACAAGTCAGTTAATTGTCAAAGTAAAAACAAATTCAAAATAAGCATACAGTATATCTATAGAAAAATTAAGGCATTGTATTTTATTTGTCAGTGGATATTTGTTGCAAAATTGGAATACTCTTCAAACTGTTTTGTTTTTTTTGTCTTATTTTGAATCAACAGCAAAAACCGATGTGAGAAAGACTGAATTTGATGAAAGCATGTCTCTTCTCAGCCTATGTAACTATAAAGTGAAAAATGGTTCAAGACCATCAAATTCAGCACACCTGTTTCTGCTGTTGATCTAAAAGATGGTAATTAAAATAAATTTTCCATTTTGACACAAATTGGAAAAAAAAAATGATATCAAAATGGCTTTCGGATTTATCTTTTGATCAATAAGTTATTACCCTGTATATTAGCTATTACATCTTTGAATATTTTGTTGTTCCAAAAAATGATCCAAACTTTGTATAGCAATTTTGTGCATGCAGTTGTTTGGCTTGTTAGAATTACATCTGCCAAAACAAGATTCAGAAAAGAAATTCACACAACCCAGAAGGGGGAGACAACAGGCCAATCAGTGTTTTGTAATACATATACATATGTATATAGTTTGCAGTTCACTGATGGGCACATTATCCTTCCATTTGCTTCACAGAGAAAAAGTAACCAACAGAGTGAAAAAGAAGAGGTGTGGTAATAAACCTATATTTATTGTTATTATTGGTATTCATATAGCGCCAACTTATTCCGCAGCGCTTCACAATATTATAAATGGGAGAATTACAAAATGATGCAGGAACAATAGGTAGATGAGCACCCTGCTCAGGCAAGTATTTATATATTTATAAAATACATAAATATAGATTTATTTTTTTACTTCTCCTCCTTTCATCACCCTCTATTGGTCACTTCTCACTTGATCTTTGAATAAAATTAACATTTAGTGGTTGTCCCCAAAACATCAATCATCATTTTCCCCATCAAGTGTCTTGTTTTTTTGGCACCATGGGCAGAATTCAGAATTTAGAAATGACACAAACATGCTCATGTATTGCACAAGTCTATTACATTTCTTTCGCAGCTCGGAAATCAGGGATTCTGACTTTTAGAACTTTGACTCTGAATTGCTCCATATATATTTTGCACTTCTTCTAAAAATAATTTACTTGGGCCCAAGACACTTCCATTTTAATAACGAGCAAAATAACAAAATGAATCAGTGTTGCCATTGAATCTGCTTACATGATAATATTACCAATATATATGAGCAATGTACATGCACTCACCAATGTTGTAAAACTTGCTGACATCTGGACAGCAATCCTTCCTCTTCATCACTTCTAGTGAATATTCAGTGAAGATTACAATGCTAAGTATCTAAAGTGTTCACAAGTAGAAAATTAAATAAAAATAATAGACTTTCAAAATTAATCAGAATTTGTTTGACAAAAATGTTATGCAATGTTAGAAAAGTGACAGAATCAATTTTACACTAAATTGTCATTTCATGCTCAAATGTAATTAAAATGTGACGTGCATATAGATACTGCTTTTATTCATTTTTTCAGCAGAATTGTCTTACTCACATATCTCTGCAAAATAAAAAAATAAACCTCTGTGACAAACATTTCTTCACCATTTCTGTGCTAATAAACATGTGGTAAGTAAAAAAAAAATAACAACAAAAGTTTCTGTCAATCTTAAAATTTTGTTAACAGTGTTTTGTGTTTCCTGTGTAGATGTACTGTTACAGGAAGAGGTTATACCGAGGGAAGGGGGCATGGGTGCATCTAGAGCCATGTCTCTAAAGGGGATGTGTATAATTATTTTATTACAGTTTGACAGAGAGAAAAAAAAACATTCATAACAAAGAACATTAATGTGCATTTTGTTGTTGTGGGTCTCTGCAATGTAATATTCATGAGTATGTTTGTATAACAGCAATACGACTCGCACACTAGATCACTCAAATGTGGGGTGTATTTGTGTTGAGTGCCAATGTGTGTATGTATCAGAGATGCAATTTTGTGGAGTGTCAATGTATGTGAATGTAGAGATGTGTGGAGTATTTGTGTGTATGTAAAGGCTGGGGTTGGATATGAAGAATGTCATTATGTAGTTGTCTGGAGTGTATATGTATCTGTGAATGTAGGGATTTTCAGTTTGTAACTTCCCTTTCCCATAAGTTTCTATTACTCCCAACATTTTAAAATGGACAAAGAGGACAGTTTAATTTTAGGGGTATGACCAGGGTGCGGCTTGGGTGAGGTTGTTCTGAAACATTTTAGATTACTTACTAATAACAATGTATGCAAATAAAATTTAATTTAGATCATGGTCAGTGTAACTGATATACACAGACTGGCATTCTAAACCCATTTTTGTAGTTTAAATACACTTTACTCTGAATTTTAAAGCTGTGCAGCTCTGCTACACACATTAATAAAAGAGAGAACGAGATATTTGGGCTCTCCTAAAAGTACAGTTGAGATGTATGTACTTCTTGCAAATATGCACGCAATGCTTTTATTTGTGCAAGTTATATGTGTGTGTGTATGTTATGTTTGCAACTAGTGCTTCATGTGCTTTTACAATGTGCATTGCATGTATTTTATAGTTTATGTGTACATGAAATATATCATGTTATTATGCAAAGGATCTGGTAAAAAACAGTGGGCTAGCATCTATATATTTATATTAATGGGGGAAGTACCAAGATACACATATCACCCTTAATCTCCCCATTTCTTTGTGGGACGCTATCTTTTCCCCACTTTGTTCCAGGGGTATTCAACCTTCTGCACTCCAGATATTACGGACATCTCCCCTGATACTTTGCCAGCATTATGGCTATAAGAAAATCACAGGAGATGCAGTCCACTACATCTGGAGTGCCGAAGGTAGCTTACCCCTGCTTAGTAGTATTCCATCTTCCTTTTACTGACCAGACCACTTTGCATTATCTTCCCACTCCCTCTGTCTCCTGAGTTCCCCATATGTCCTTATTATCGCCTTCTAGTATGCCTATCTCTCTCAGCCCTCTCAAGCTTTTTCTCTCCTTCTTGATTCTGATTCCCTCTCCCATGTACACCGTCTTTCTGTAATTTAGTCATCTAATATTTCCAAAGCAACCTTTGGCAGTTCAGTGTGGCATAGCAGCCCTAAGGCATTAATTACCCTAAAAAGGACAAACAGTATGCAATGTGTATTAGGGAAAAGCTGACTTTCCCATTTAATAGCTTATGAAGATAAGGTAAACCAATGCAATGAAAAATAAATAAATAATTAAAATAGGAAAAGAAACAGATCTCTGAAGTTTTCATTTTGTGTATCAGGAAATGTCTAATCAAATTCAGTCATTCAGTGCTCTCCAATAAAAATGTATAGGATTTGCAACGAGCATGTATTCTTGGGACTCTTGTAAATCGGCTTGTGTGACGTGCATGTGTGCATCATTGCAATATGCAGTGTACTGTACACATTGAATATGATGCTAGAACTTCTGATGGTGCACATGAAAGTTTTCACTCCTGCTTTCAACAGGCTTTTTTATCTTTTGGATGCTGTAGCTGTAGAAGTGGATTTCTGTACAACTTTATTTTACTAGCAAGATATTATTTTTCCTTCCACAAAATCTGAAAATTATTTGCCATGCATATTAACTTATATTAATCTTATTGTAATATTAATAATACATGAAAGTTGTCTAGGAAGAAGCCTGGAAGGGTCTTTTTACACGTGTTAGAAATAATTACATTTGATAGTAATATTACGTAGCAATACTTTCTTCTTTTTTCACATGCTTATTCTGCATGTCCCTGTGGACCTGCTACTGATGAGAAATAGTTTCTCTTTCCGACTTAGTGGTAAGTTCACAAGAACCAGTTTCTATTTCCAGTTGCACTAGCATTCCTATGGGAGTTAGGGAGTTCTGCATCGAGACAAGCTGTGTCATTTACTGTCAGTATTGCATTCTCAGACGCTGGTAGCTGGTGTAACCTATTCTACATTCTTATAAACAATAAGTGAAAAAAAATATCCTATTTTGTTCTTTCGGTGTGACAACTATTTCCCAAACTGTTTTATATATTACATAATGCAATGACCACTGCTCAGTATATTTACTTGTCTTTTACTAGATCATCTACATGAGCGTTTACCAATTGGTGTTCCGCAGGAACAAAAATAGGATTCTGCTGTGATTTCAGCAACCAAAATGGCTGACACAATTTTAATTGCTGAACAGAGGCCTGGTCGGGTGCTGCAGTCCTTTAAGAGTACCACCGGACCCTGTAGTATCCACCGGCTGGGAGGAAGTTACAGCAGATCACCAGGACTGGCGCGTCCATAAGGCGGCACAGGCCGCCTTAGGGCGCCAGAGCAGGTGGGGTGCAAAAATCCAAATCCCCTAACTGGGGACTTTTCAACTCACCTTGCTCTCCCTGCAGCCAGCACAGTGCAGGAGCCTGGCAGTGAAGTCAGCCGACCTTCTCTGATGATGTCAGAAGGGAGCAGGACTTCAACTCCTCCCAGACTCCCCAGCGTTCCTGACTATGTGCCAGCCTCCAGTGCAGCAGTCCCACCCGAAGTTTTTTCCCTCCCTGGCCCAAGGTAAGCCTCTAAGAGGGGGGGTGGGTACCTTTTAGTATGTTTTTTTGTTTTTTAAATCAAAACTTTTTTTTAGCAGCCCCTGTGCCCCACTACAGCTCCTGCCTCCCACAATACTGCCCCTGCCCCTTCTATGGCCCCTCTCTTTTCCATTACCGACCCTGCCACCACCACACTGCCACCACACTGCCCCTTCCCCACTCTACAGCCCCTGTCCCCACCATTTTGCCCCTGCCCCCTCTACTGCCCCTGTGCCTCCTCTACATCCCCTATATTTCCCTCAACAGCCTTTGCCCCCACTATACTGCCCCTGCCCCCTCCATACTGCCCCCTCTACAGCCCCTGTGCCCTCTATAGAGCCCCTCTATTTCCCTCTAAAGCACCTTCCCCCACCATACTGCACCTGCTCCCACCATACTGCCCTTGCCCCCCTATACTGCCCCTTCCCCACCATACTGCTTCAATGCCTCCTCTACAGCCCCTGACCCCCACCATACTGCCCCTGCCCCTTCTACTTCACTGTACAGCCCCTGTTCCCCCTATACTACCTCCTCTACTGCCCGTGTTCCTCCCTCTACAGACCCTATATTTCCCTCTATAGCCCCTGTCCCCGCTATAATGCTCCTGCCCCCCCCTCTACTGCCCCTGTGCTATCCTCTTCAGGCCCTTGTGCCCCCTCTATTTCTCGATACTGCCCCCTCTATTTCTTTATACAGCCCGCCCCCCCACCATACTGCATCTGTCTAGCTTCTACAGCCCCTGCCACCCCTCTACAGCTCCTGCCCCCCACCATACTGCCTCTGTCCCCATCTACTTCCCCATCCTCCCCTCTACTGCCCCTGTCTCCCCCCCTCTACAGCCTCTGCCCCCTCTACAGTCCCTGCCCCCCTTTTCAGCCTCTGTCCCCCTCTACTGCCCCTGTGCCCCCATCATATTGTCCCTGTGTCCCACTATACAACCCCTGCCCCCCTACAGCCCCTGCCCCCCTCTACTGCCCATTTACCCCACCATACTGTCCCTGTAACACAACTATATTGCCTCAGTGTCCTCATCTACAGCCCCTGTCTCCCTCTCTACAGCCTGTGTCCCCCCTCTACAGCCACTGTGCCCTCACCATACTGCCCCTGTGTCCCCTCTACTTCTCCTGTTTCCCCCTCTACTTCCCTTGTGTCCCACCATACTGCCTCTGTTTCCAACCATATTGCTCCTGTGCCCCCACCACAGCCCCTATACCCCCCTCTACAGCCTCTAACTGCCCTACTTCACATCCCTTCCACTACAGCCTCTATTCTCCCACGTGCAGCTCCTAAGGTTGGGTTTCTGGATCTGCCCTGCTCTGTATACCTGTGTCTGTATGTCTCTATATGATTGTGTCCGTATGTCTCTGTATGCCTTGTTCTGTATATCTTTTTGTGACTATGTCTGTGTATATATGTCCCTGCATGCGTGTGTATGCATCATGTCTCTGCATGCCTGTATGTCTCTGTATGCCTTTGTCATAATGTATTTGTATGACTGTATGTCTGTGTTTGTATATCTCTGTATGACTGTGTCTTTATGACAGTGTACCTGTATTTGTTGATTGTATGACTGTGTGCCTGTATATTTCTGTGACTCTGTGCCTGTATGTGCATGTTGCTATATATCTATGTCTATATGGCTTAGGAGGGAAAAGATACACAAAGGGCCCTGAGGGGAAGAGGGACACACTAAAAACAAGCTGAGGGGAAAGACCAACAGAAAAGGACTGTGGGAAAGAAAGAGAAACACAAAGGGGCTGGGGGAAAAACAAGATACACAAGAGGGGTTGTAAGAGACATACAAGGGGGTGTAAGACACACTAAAGGGGAATACAATACACTAAATGGGGTAATAATTTCCAAAGGCTACACAAGACAGCAAGACAACGCTAAAGATGCATTTTATTTGTGTGGGGGGGAGGAGGGGATGGCAAAATTCATCTTCACCTGTGTACCCAACAATACCTGCACTGGCCCTGCAGATCTCTTCCTCCCAGCTTCACAGAGTGGTGCCACACGGTTGGGAGGTAGAAGGCAGCTGAAAGCTGGGAGGAGTTTGGAAACGGCCGCACAGACAGGCAGCAGGATGGATGGCAGAGGAGTGGCTGGAGTGAGCTGCTGCATGCTCACTCCCATCAGCCACAGCCAATATCAGTGTGTGCCTCCTGCGTCAGTGTGTGTATTTGTGTGCTACTGTGTGTATCTGAGTGTGTATACGTGCCAGTGTGTTTATGTACAAGTGTGTGTGTATCTGTGTGTCAAGGTGTGTGCAGGGCCAGATTAACATAGGGGCTAAAGGAGCTGCAGCTCCAGGCCCATGGAATAGGCCCATTTTTATTTATTTTTTACACACAGTCTTAGGTCTGCCACCTGACTGGTATTTTAAGGCACAGTAAGTATTTGAGGCTGCCTGGCCATGACGGTATTGCAGTGATACCGGCAATACAAATGCAAATATTTTTCTCAGTTTAAACAGAGTATACTCTGCAACACCAGCACCGGCCAGTAGGGGTCACTGTGTATGGAAAGAGGCAGGGATAGGAAGTTACAACATCTACCTGCCTCTCTCTACTCACTGATCCATGGGGAGCAGCTACACAGCAGATAGAGTCTAGACAGCAGCTCCCAGCCTACAGAGACAGACTACAGCTCATGTATGTGAAGGATGTGGGGAAAGCAGCAGGGAGACATAGGGACACTGAGACACTAGGGGACACATGGATACACAGACACTAGGGGACACTGGGAGATGTGGGGACACTAAGACACTTGGGGCACTGGGAAACATGGGGACAATGAGACACTAGGGGACACTGTGAGACATGGGGACGCTGAGACACATGGGGAGACACATTGGGACATGGAGACACTAGGGACACAGTGTCCCCATGTCTCCCAGCCAGTGTCCCTAGTGTCTCAGTGTCCCCATGGCTTCCAGTGTCCCCTAGTCTCCCAGTGTCTGTGTCCGCATGTCTCTCAGTGTCCCCATGTCCCAGAGTGTCCCCAAATGTCTGTATCCTCATGTCTCCCAGTGTCCACATGTCTCCCAGCCAGTGTCTCAGTGTCTCCATGTCTCCCAGTGTTCCTATGTCTCCCAGCCAGTGTCCCTAGTGTCTCAGTGTCCCCATGTCTCCCAGTGTCCGTGTCCCCATGTCTCTGTGTCCCTAGTGTCCCCATGTCTCCTAGTGTCCCCAAATGTCTCAGTGTCCCCATGTCTCCCAGTGACCCCATGTCTATGTCCACAAGTGCTCCTATGTCTCCCAGTGTCCCCAAGTGTCTGTGTCCTCATGCCTCCCAGTCAGTGTCCATAGTGTCTGTGTCCCCATGTCTCCCAGTGTAACCTAGTCTCCCAGTGTCCCCTAGTCTCCCAGTGTCTGTGTTTCCATGTTTCTCAGTGTCCCTAGTTTCACCAAATGTCTGTGTCCCCATGTCTCCCAGTGTCTGTGTTGCCATGTATCTGTGTCCCTAGTGTCTGTGACCCTATTTCTCCCAGTGTCCCCAAATGTCTCAGTGTCCCCAAGTCTCCCAGTGTCCCCATGTCTGTATCCACAAGTGCCCCCATGTCTCCCAGTGTCCCCAAGTGTCTCAGTGTCCCTGGGTCTCACTGTGTCCCCATGTCTCTCAGTGTCCCCTAGTATCCTAGTGACACGGGACACACTGAGACATGGGGACACTGGGAGAAATGGGGACACAGACACTGGGAGACAAGGGGATTGGGCGACATAGGGACACTGATGCCAGGCTGGCCTTCCAATTCTTTAGACAGACATGCCCCCTTTTGGCAGTTCTGGTCACGTGATTTGCGTCAGTAGTCCACCCTTTTACCCCACCCATTGACTTCCTGCTTCACTGGACACTGCTGTTAGGGGGTATGGATTTACTTGAAAGATGAAAGCATACATTAGAGAGAGATTAGCACAAAGTATGTGTTTTCTTATAGCTGCATCCTTTGAGTTTCCCTCCAACACCAACTCCATCAGATACATGACACTTGACAGGTATGGCTGTTTTAGTGTTTTTGGTCGAGAAAAGGCACAGGGTCCCCAGAGAACAAGGGACCGGGTAATCAGGTCTAAACGCAGATGAAAAGCCTCACACAAAAAAAAAAAATCTCTCAATTCACCATAAAATTTACCTCGACACCATGGTCTAACCACTAGTGTCTACCTGAACCAACTCTCCCTACTAAAGTTATAAATAAATAAATAAACACCTAAAAATCAATAACCATGGTGGTAACAAAAATAAAAAAAGTGCTACCAAATGCAGAGATTAAAGAAAAAGCAAATGCTTGACTCGCGTTTTGGGGTGTTCAAAACGCCGCCGTCAGGAGCCTCACAGATTTATTTATTTTTTGTGTGAGGCTTTTCATCTGCATTTAGACCTGATTACCCGGTCCCTTGTTCTCTGGGGAACCTGAGCCTCTTCTCTCTCCCTAACCTCGTTTACACTACCTTCCTGTCAGTCGGACACTAGGGGAACTGGAAATTAGATGCTAGCTAGTACTCCAGACAATTGAGCCCCTGGGCACTGTTTAGTAGATCTCCCTTTTTTTCAAGTTATACTTTTTGCTTGCATATCCCTTTTTATGCTTAGATTGATTAAAGGTAAGTCCTCCCTTCCTCATTTCTTATATAGTGGAGCTCTCCTGATTTTGGATTCCCCTTGTGGGACTCTACACATCACCTACTCCTATTACCTACATATTTACAAGGGTTACCCCCTCATTGGAGCTGCCTTATTAGGTGGTTACAGTGGTGCAGCTCATGAGCCCTTGACTTGTATCCGGACTCCTGACCTGCACTCTGTTTACTTTATTTCTCCATTTTATGGAAGTCATAAGTTACCAACCACGCACGAGGCTCCTGCCCAAAATAGTTCCACGAATTCAGAGTGTGTGGTCGGTCAATTTAGTAAATGGCATAAAAACGAATAAAGTCCCGAATGGATCCTCCTGGCTCATAGGAGCGATTGCTCCCCTTGTTCATATGAACCAAACTACCGAATGGCACTCTCCTGGCTGTTTGGCAACTAAAGGAAGCAGGCGTTCGGTAGTTTCAGCGGTGGTTCGGGAAATCGAGTGTCCGATTTTAGTTCCAGACACTCAACACCAAGTCCCGCTGCCTCCTTTCGTGGAAACAAGAAGGCCGCCGTTTTCTGTTCCATGTGGCATTTGGCTATACGAACGGCGGCCGCCCAGAGAGCGCTTAATAGATGGTTCTTTTGAAGTTAATGAGCCAGGAGAGTGGTCGGTGTTCGGTAGTTTTAAACTGCCGAACCAATAAATCCAAAATGAACGAAAGGGTGCAGAAAAGCACGAACACAGAATAAAATGCAGAACTCAGTTTATTTTCTTCACAGGTACACAATGTCAAATGGTTCCATAGGAAAAAAAATTGGGAACCCCTGATCTAGATCAGTGGTAGTTATCCTGGTCCTTACTGCCCACTAGTGCTTTTATGACGATAGGTGGTGGGTTTTATCCGGGACAACCACATGCTCCGCGCAGGCGTGAGCCTTCCTCCAGCCATCAAGAAAGACCTTACAAAAATTCCCAGCATACATTGCGTGAACACCTCTGTTTCATAAAACTCCTCTTAATGGCGAAAAAGAAAGCGCGTGCACGGCTGCACTCCTGATCGGGACAGACGGGGGGGGCGTGATGTTGTAACATGCTGGGAGGGAGCTGATGCACTAGATGTGAAAGCAGGGACAGTTAGAAGCATGCCGTATAGAGTAGCCTGATTTTTTACTTTATTATTATGGTTATTTTCCTTTGGCAAGTTAAGTTCTGTTATTTTCTGTGTACTTGTTTTACTTAGCATCCAAAAAAAGAAAGAAGGAAAAGAAGTAAAGGAAGGAGAAAAAGAGAATAAAGAGACGTCTGATATTTTTTTCTGTTTAATTTTTGCTGTTGGCTAATAATAAAGTGGGGTACCTAGTTCAGCCTTCCTGCTGGTGATTGTAATAAGGAAGGGTAAATGAAAAGAACAAAGGAAAAGGAGAAAAAAAGGAAAAGGAAAGCAAATTAAAAAATAGAATAAAAAGGGAAAAAGGGGGAAAAAATTGACAAAATGCAAAAAAAATAACGAAAAATTCTAGTAGGTGCAGCATCGATAGAGATGCGGAAATTCAATAAATTTAAATTATATATGTATAAACATGCATAAAGTAGAAATAAAAAAATACATTTAAATATATCATTTAAAAAAACCTCCTTTCTAAAAATGTTTTTTCACTTGCGCTAAAAAATTAAGTTAATGCGGCACTGGTGGGCAGTAGGTATAAAAGGTTGACTAACCCGATCTATTTTCTAGCACAATCATTCTGTTGAAAATAGACATATACTCAGCTGTTTCTTCAAATAATTATCAGGTTGTGTCTAAAGGTACACCAATGTCAGTCACTAATACCATAAATGTTTTGGACAAAGCATCTTTATGTGACTGAAAAGTTATCTTGAAGCTTTTGCATTTAACAGCACTTTTACACCTGCCAGAGCCTTAAGTAGGACGTTACAAGGTAATAACATATGCAGTCAGTATTATGAGTATGATGTTCTAAAGCTGGAAAACGTGGTCTTCGAGCAGGAAAACATTTTTTTTTTTTTAATGAAAACAAATATCACAATGTTTGCACAATATTGATGTGAACTCAGTTTGGTATCCCATGTTGATATCATTTAAATTAAATTAATATTAAGTATTTAATTAATTCAGTAAATCCATGACCACAGAATGATTCAACTAAATAACTAGTAGCAGTTATTTAATAACTAAAACAGATAAAACTAATTAACTAAAGCAGAAAGCAGAGGAATATGTAAAGAGATAGGGTGCATTTTGTCAGAGGTAGGATGTGTACGGTGTTGTCATGCTGTCTTGTTATGTTATGCATGCTTAATATGTGTCTTTGCTCTATTAAGACTAACAAACACCTAACAATACTCAACGAATCAGACGCCCACTCCCCAGTTGCTACGCACCAAAAAGCTTCTACTTTAACTCTCTATGTATGTGGTCTTAGACTGAGTAATTGTTAAAAGAATATTAACCTGTTTTGTCTATATCTATGGCTTCTCCCAGGCAAGTGTCCACAAGAAGTAGCACTCTATTCTCCAGTGCAGAGGAGGCACCACTGGCACTGGGAAGCATCTGATCTAGTGCTAAATGAGTTAATTTAGTATATATGATTTTTTAGTAAATGAATTTTAGAATTGTGCAACTGAAGAAAGGGTTGCCAAGACAAGATATATTACAATGTAAACCAATACATTTTACACTTAAGCATCATAAAAGCCAGGGTTTGACTGAAACATTGATCTTGATTTGTGTTTGCACAGAATCTGCTTCAATACAAGCAGCAGCTTATGTATGAAGAATTAATTCTTTTATTGGCTGGAGTTTAGCACCTAGGTAAGGAATTTCATTGCAGAGCCGAACAATATATATATATATATATATATATATATTTATATATATATATATATATATATATATAAAACTGTAGGCTAACTAACGCTTGCAGGGCTTCTCATGTGCAACTCCCTACCTTTGGGATAGCCTGCCTACTGCCATCAGACTCTCGCCTATTCTTCAATCATTTAAAAAGTGCCTTAAGACCCATCTCTTTAGAAAAGCTTATGGCCTCCCAGAGTAACCTTTACCTCACATACCTGTCCCTTGCTCTCTCCTTAAGGGCAGCACTCTGCTCTCTCCTCTTGCCCCCCTCCCACCTTGCTTGATTGCTATCTCCTACCCTATTGTTCTTTTATACCCCACCTCCTCTAGACTGTAAGCTTGTTTGAGCAGGGTCCTCTTCATCCTATTGTTCCTGTAAGTTTCTGTAATTGTCTCATTTATTTTTTATATATGAAAAGTATAAAAAGTATTAATGCAACCACTGTTATGAATATGTTGCAAACCACGAGTGCGCTTTTTCTTTGGTCATAAAATATTTTGCTTGATTAATGCACCTGGGCTATTTATTCCTTTTTTTTTGCAATTGGAAGCAGAGAGTGCTGCTCTTTTGGGACATATATATTTGTACTGTACTACTAGCAAGGCCTTAAAAATGAGTTGCCTCTGCAACCCATAGCATACCCATCAGGGGTGAATTTAAACTCATCATGGCTACATTTTCACTCACCAATGGCTAGTGATGAGTATATGTATATATTATATATATATATATATATATATATATATATCACATATAATATTTAACACCCAAAAAGATAAGAATATGTATAACATGTATCTCCATTAAATATAAATGGGTCAAACGACATGACCAAACGTGTGTTGTATTACATAATCCCTACCATGCTATACATTAATTAATACTTATAAAAAATATTATTTTGCCCGTGTAATGCAACAAATGTATTTAAGATACATTGTCACGCACTGTGTGACAAGTTACTGGTGCCGCACATTTATTGGCAAGCACATTGTTATTACATGTCGGCATTTGGTGTTTTTCTATGTAATAAAGTATACCAGAGACCCACTCTCCCCAGCATAAGGTTAGGGGTCTATTCATCTAAATGAGAAAAAGAGATACATGTTTTCAGAAAAAAAGTATTAAGGTTACAGTATATTCTTATTTATTTTAATAATACCAATACTCAAACCATATCTAAATGTAATACATTACATACACTGTCAGTGAAGAACCCTTAGCTTCTTTTAGCTGATAAAATATTCAGTCAGTCCCATGCTGTGCACTCATATCGAGAGTCTATGGTAAAATAATGATCACATATCACTCTAAAATGATGATGAGTAGCTACACATTGAAAATGACCATCTATGCGGTGGTAATGAGTATTCTATTCTGCATAATGAAGCTTATTATCTATATGCTGATAACAAACTTGCCACACAGCATGCTAATTCTAGGTATTTGCATAAACATAATGGACATTACATCCAGTATAATGACGCATATTACTTGTAAACTGGAAAGTAAATTATTATAAAATAATAATAAATATTCATACACACGGCATGTGTACACTGTCCTTTAAATTAAAGGGACAGTTTAGTCATCTTAAGGCATCATAACAATTTCATCAATATGATGTTGTTATGGTGCCTAGAGTGTTCCTTTAATGTCGATTTAGTACTATTTGTCACTTACCATATGGTATATAGACAATGTCTTGGACAAAGTTCGGACTCTAAAACAGGTAGATTTTTCGAGCTCGTTTAAGGATTTTGAAGCCATTTCTGTTGTGCAGCTACCGTTGGTGACTGTTACTTAAACTAAAAGTTTCCTTTGTAACTCTGCCCGCTTCCTTCCTGATTTGAACATCTTTACATATGATTGCAGGGCAGCTACTGACAATGATGATATCTGTCTAAGACAAAAATAGTAGCATAAGAGGAAATGTATACATAAATATCAGTGCCTTTAGTCATTTTTTCCCTAGGGTCCAGGGCCAAGCTGCAGTTGCTTTGTACATGGACTATTATACAGTAGTGTTTTTACTTCTACATCTCTGTCTAATATATACTACTCAGCATTTGACAAACTTGGCTTGTAAGGACAGAACACATATGTATTTTGTCAAAAGTGCATACAGTGTACATTAGTATAACATGAATACATATCATACATACATTATTACAACTAATACAAAGTACAAATCCCATTAAATGCACAGTTTCATAACTGTTTAATAAGGGTCAAAGCATGCTATTTTAATGGCTAACCTTAACTTGGATCATTGGCTTTACAAAGGCTCACACATCCCATTGTAATGGCTAACCTTAACTGGGCACATTGGCATAGCCAACTATGAGTTGTTGGACCATTCATTAGCATAGCATATCTAATGAATCTTCCGAGAACATATAAACTCAAACCAATGTATGCAATAAAATCCATTCATTTAAAGCTACGCTTTATAGCTGAGTTGTTTAAAGTTAGAGTGATGCCAAGTTGTCTTAGAGTTAGACTATTTAAAATGGTAACTAAACTTGAAATTTTATCAGCTAAACAGCTATTCTACTAGTAGACAGATGATATTTTACCTAACCACAACAGTGCCATCTTATCTGTCAACCTTGCTCCACTCCAGCAACGGCTTGACAGAGGCATGTTGTGCATCATTCTGGGGTCATGTTCAGTGATGGCCACTCCACCATGACTCACTCTTATGCACTAAAATAACGCAGAGTCTACATAATTATTGGTTGCTTATCTTTTAATGTCACTCAATTGATGCTGACCAATAGGATCTTCTTTCTTTCTTTTTAAACTTGGACTATGTTCTAACCAGTGCCAAGTTGTGACCTATATTTACCAGAGAGTGTGGGTATTTAGTTCATTGCTTTTCTGGTTATTGACTTCTGGTTTGTACCTTGATTTTGCTGTTTTCCCTAATCCTGACCTTAGATTGTTTACCCACATTGCTGTTATTCTGTTCTCCTTTGACTTTTTTTTTTCTTACTATTCATGCCATAAAGTTTGTTGAAATGTTGAATAATTGTAGCTAAACATTTAAAATACATTGATTTATGAATACCTTTTTTATGCTTTAGTGGTTGATGAAAACTATTAATAGGTGACAGATCTACTTTAAAAATACAATTGTTTGTATAGTTATATTTCATCTTACTCCTATACAGTTTGAATTGTTTAGTACCTATTCTTTAGAATCTGGTCCCATCGCTCCAGTGCACGGAAATCAAACAGAACAAACTGGATAAATAAGAAAAGATTGTAACAATATATTTCTTATAACAAATGTGCTAAAATTCACAACTTAAATAGAAAATGTGAATACATTGGAGTTCTTTTAAAAAATAACACTTGTTACAAGTTGACTGAAAAAATGCAGAACCGTCACAATACAATAAAGTTTCACTAACAAAGGATAAAACCAAGATGAGTATAATTTAAAGTTTTGTTTTGTCTTTTGTCTTTTACAGTATGCCTTGACCTTAACTATTGGGTTAATACTTCTACTGAACTCTCTCTTTATGCTGTCCCCATACCGTGTTTCCCCGAAAATAAGACCTACCCCGAAAATAAGCCCTAGCTGGATTATCGGGGTGGGCTGCAATATAAGCCCTACCCCGAAAATAAGACCTAGGCAGGGCCGGCGGCTGCCGGCCCTTTAAATGCCTCAGCCGCCTGAGCGCTCTATAGAGAGCGCTCAGACAGCTGCCGCACAGCCTCACCTCACCTCCCCTGTAGCGTGGCCGAGCTCCTTTCCGGTCCGCGACCCGCCCGGACTGACAGGAAGTGCACACTGGGTGTGCACTTCCAGTCCGGCGGTCGCGGGACCGGATAGAGCTCAAGGAAGGGGAGGTAGGGAGGGAGGGATAATACAGGGACGGGGGGATAATATTACTGGGAGGGAGGGGGAGAGAGGGAGGGAGGGAGGCCACAGGGAGGGAGGGGAGACAGGATGGAGAGGGAGGGAGATATTACAGGGAGGGGGAGGTATTACAGGGAGGGAGGGGGAGAGTATTACAGGGAGGGGGGAGAGAGTATTACAGGGATGGGGGGAGAGTATTACAGGGAGGGAGGGGGGGATAATATTACAGGGAGGGAGGGGAGAATATTATAGGGAGGGAGGGGGGAGAGTATTACAGGGAGGGGGAGGTGAGGGTCTCTGGGGGGGTTACACAGCGCGGACACCGGCTGACAGACTGGCTCTAAGCCCTACCCTGAAAATAAGCCCTAGTGTGTTTTTTGTGACTAAAATTAATATAAGACCCGGTCTTATTTTCGGAGAAACACGGTATAATTTTGATGGGTTACCCTATAACACAGTCACATTCTCCCTTGTGTCCACTAAAAAAACCCCACTGTTTTTAGGTTCTGTCTCTCTACTGGATGCTGGACACATGTACCAGTCGACACTAGCCTCTCATCATAGGGTATCATCCCAGTATGTCTACTTGTGGAATATTAAGTCACCTAAAAAAATAAGAGAATGTGTCATTGGTGATTTTTGGATGAGTGTTAATTTTACTGGTATAGGATCTGGATTATCTTGGCTTTGAATAGGGTCTGTTGAGCGAGATTTTTGAGAAAGTGAAGTCTAATGACTTCTCAATAAAATCTTTATATTGATCAAAGAGTAGCATGTCCAACCCCCTTTCACCTAACCCTGGGTGTTCAGGGATCCTAAATCCCATTTGAGACACCAACAACAAAATTCCTCATCTACACCAAAAGTTTTGTCTACTTGAACACTAAGGAGAATAACAGACTCACCTACAAAAACTAACTACCTTCAAATGTTTTGTCTCCAAAAAATTATTTTTCTGCTGGGACTCTTTATTATTGTTATGTCTCAATATTTTTATATATCATATTGTGTATACATATATATCTGTATACGATTATCTAGTATTTCTTATTTGGCACAGTATGTTTTTTTGTTTTTTTCCATATTTTTTATCTTTGTTTTGCTACCTTTCGATTAAATAGGAAATACAGCCCACATAACTTGGCATATGTCTTGTCTTTCGTGGGAAACAATAGAGAAAATTTATGACAAACTTACCGTAATTTTCTTTTCCTGGCTATTTCTCATGGCAGCATCACTTAGGGGTAGCTCCTCCCTTAGCAGTCACAGGACAGGAATTAATTAGATTAATTAATCAGACTGATAGGTATAAGGAGTCCCTCCTCCCCCTACACCTCAGTTCAATTATAAAGCTGAAATAAAGAAAGGGCGGGAATCCTGATGCTGCCATGAGAAATAGCCAGGAAAAGAAAATTACGGTAAGTTTGTCATAAATTTTCTCTATTCCTGGCTAATCATGGCAGCATCACTTATGGGTAATACCCAAGCTTCACAGAAAAATAGGGTGGGAATAATAATCCAAGAAATTACACAAAACTGAAACACATGCAGCAAAGAAAAGTTTAATATCAACGGGATAAAGAGACCGTAGACAGGACACTCTTTCCAAAGGAGGTGGAAGGAGACTCCACATCAAGTTTGTAGTTCTTCATGAATGTCATCGGAGAAGACCAGGTGGCTGCTCTGCAAATATCATCGTATGGAACCTCTGCCCAGCTAGCCCATGAAGTTGATAATGCTCTAGTAGAATGAGTTCTTATTTCCCGAGGTGGTGATATACCTTTAGAGATATACGCCTTCTTAATTATCAGAGAAATCCAACGTTTCAACGTAGATAAAGAAGCTGCCTCACCTCTCCTTGCTCCCAACGGCAAAACGAAGAGTTGGTCCGTTTTACGGAAAGACTCAGAACGTTTAAGATATGCAGACAAGCAGTTCATGACATCCAAACGTTGCCATCTAACCTCCTCCTGAGAAGAGGGGTTGGGGTAAAATGATGGAAGAACCACTTCTTGAGAGAGGTGAAACTGAGAAACTACCTTAGGAAGAAACTCTGGTTTTGGTTTCAGACACACCCTATCTTGGTAGAATCGTAAACAAGAAGAAGATGTAGAAAATGCCTTAATTTCTGAAATCCTTCTTGCGGAAGTAATTGCCACCAAAAACAAAATTTTATACATCAGGAGAGTAGCATCCAAACTTTCAAGAGGAACAAACAGATCCTCAGTGAGATAATTGAGCACCATAGGAAGGTCCCAAGGAGGGGTAGTAGATCTGGAAGGAGGCCTCAACCTGAAGGCCGCTTTGAAGAACCTGGAAATCAAAGGATCCAAAGCCCATGAGATGTTGCACAAAGCTGAAAGTGCCGAAGACTGAACCTTCAAGGTGCTGAGGCTAAGGCCCTTGTCCAGGCCCTCTTGCAGAAACTCCAGAACTTCAGTATTGCTAGGATGCAGAAAGTCCACATTATGAGACGATGCCCAAGGAGCCAACTCGTAAAGAGGCCATACTAGATTTAGTGTTAACAAATGGAGATTTGGTATCAGATGTTACTGTAGGTGAAAGTTTAGGATCCAGTGATCATCAGTCAGTGTGGTTTAATATAAGAACAGTGACTGAGTCACACCACACAAAAACAAAAGTTTTAGACTTTAGAAAAACAGACTTTTCTAAAATTAGAATATGGGTAGAGGAGTCATTATCAGACTGGAGCAATTTAAATGGAGTCCAAGAAAAATGGGATTATTTAAAAGTTGCACTATTGAAGGCAACAGAAAATTGCATTAGGCTTGTCAGTAAAAGCAAAAATTCAAGAAACCACTGTGGTACTCCGCAGATGTGGCCAAAATAGTTAAAAACAAAAAGTTAGCATTTAGGAATTATAAAAAAAACCAGAGTGAGGGAGACAAAATGATCTATAAGATTAGGCAGAAAGAGGCTAAGCAAGTTATAAGAGCTTCCAAATCACACACAGAAGAGAAAATAGCACAGTCAGTAAAAAAGGGGGATAAAACATTTTTTAGATACATAAATGAGAAAAGAAAAGTAAAACAAGGATTAGTTAGATTAAAAACAAAAGAAGGAAGGTATGTAGAAGAGGATAAAGGTCTAGCTGACTGCCTCAATGAATATTTTTGTTCTGTATTTACAGATGAAAATGAAGGAAAGGGACCTCAGTTGAGAAAAAAGGATAAATGAGTCATTTATTACACGTGAGTTTACAGAGGAAGAGGTTCTATTTCAACTGTCAAAAGTAAAGACAAATAAGTCAATGGGACCTGATGGAATACACCCAAAGCTATTAAAAGAGCTTAGTGGTGTACTAGCAAAACCATTAACAGATTTATTTAACCAATCATTGTTAACAGGAGTAGTCCCAGAAGATTGGAAGTTAGCGAATGTTGTGCCCATTTACAAGAAAGGTAATAGGGAGGAGTCGGGCAACTATAGGCCAGTAAGCCTTACTTCAGTAGTGGGGAAAGTGATGGAAACCATGTTAAAGGATAGGATTGATGAACATCTAAAACACATGGATTTCAAGATCAGAGACAACATGGGTTTACTTCAGGGAGATCATGCCAAACTAATCTTATTGATTTTTTTGATTGGGTAACTAAAATTATAGATCAGGGTGGTGCAGTAGACATTGCTTACCTAGATTTCAGTAAGGCTTTTGACACTGTTGCACATAGAAGGCTTATCAATAAACTGCAATCTTTAAGTTTGGATTCCAATATTGTTGAATGGGTAAGGCAGTGGCTGAGTGACAGGCAACAGAGGGTTGTAGTTAATGGAATATATTCGAAGCTTGGACTTGTCACCAGTGGGGTACCTCAGGGATCTGTACTTGGACCCATTCTCTTTAATATTTTTATTAGTGATATTGCAGAAGGTCTTGATGGTAAGGTATGTCTTTTTGCTGATGATACTAAGATATGTAACAGGGTTGATGTTCCAGGAGGGATAAGCCAAATGATGATTTAGGTAAACTAGAAAAATGGTCAGAATTGTGGCAACTGACATTTAATGTGGATAAGTGCAAGATAATGCATCTTGGACGTAAAAACCCAAGGGCAGAGTACAGAATATTTGATAGAGTTCTAACCTCAACATATGAGGAAAGGGATTTAGGGGTGATTATTTCTGATGACTTAAAGGTAGGCAGACAATGTAATAGAGCAGCAGGAAATGCTAGCAGAATGCTTGGTTGTATAGGGAGAGGTATTAGCAGTAGAAAGAGGGAAGTGCTCATGCCATTGTACAGAACACTGGTGAGACCTCACTTGGAGTATTGTACACAGTACTGGAGACCGTATCTTCAGAAGGATATTGATACCTTAGAGAGGGTTCAGAGAAGGGCTACTAAACTGGTTCATGGATTGCGGGATAAAAC